TTTTTCTTGTCTATAAAGCATTTAACCCCCCTGTACACAACTCACTCCTTTTAAAGAAAAAAATTGAAATGTAAGGCTGTGTAAGATTTGTTTTTAAACTGTACAGTGTCTTTTTTTGTATAGTTAACACACTACCGAATGTGTCTTTAGATAGCCCTGTCCCAGTGGTATTTTCAATAGCCACTAACCTTGCCTGGTACAGTATGGGGGTTGTAAATTGGCATGGAAATTTAAAGCAGGTTCTTGTTGGTGCACAGCACAAATTAGTTATATATGGGGATGGTAGTTTTTTTCATCTTCAGTTGTCTCTGATACAGCTTCTACGAAATAATTGTTGTTCTGTTAACTGAATACCACTCTGTAATTGCAAAAGAAAAAGAAAAAAGTTGCAGCTGTTTTGTTGACATTCTGAATGCTTCTAAGTAAATACAATTTTTTTTATTAAAAAAAAAAAACAGCATCAAATAGAATAAAATATTTAAGAATAAAATTATTTAAGTTTCTTGAGCCACAGATTGGATCTCGGGCCTGAAATACATAAACTGTGTACCTATCACTGAGGTACAGCCCCAGCCCAGGAATAAACTTTAGAAAGAAATGCAAGACTTGGATCTGAAATCTACAAAACGACACTGAAAGGACAGAGTGAAGAGAATCCCTATAAAAATTTCGGATACTTTTTTGGCAGGAATGAGATGACCAGAGGCCAGAGCGATTCGGTTTATATGAGGTTAACCTGGGTTCAATCACTGGCATCCCTTATGGTCTCCCAAGCCTGCCAAGAAGGATTTCTGAGCACAGAGTCAGGAGCCCTGAGCACCACCAAGTGTGGTCCAAAAAAGCAATAATAAAAATAATAACCTAGAATCACAGAGACGGCTCAAAGGCCTGAAGCACCTAATTTTCATGAAGGCCAAGGTTAGATCCTGGCACTCCAGGGTTACCGCAGCACCCACCAATAGCAATCCCGAGTACCCCGCAGGAAATAGCCTTTGAGTACTGCCAGGTGTGTGTGTCACACACACACACACACACACACACACACACACGTGTGCGCGCGCACTCCCAGACACGGGGTTTCTTTGGGGATAGGGATGGAGATCTCATTCAGGAGGTAAGGCACTTCCCTTACATGTGGCTGCACCCAGGTTCAAATTCCTGGCACCTAAGCACTGCCATGGGTCACTCCTGAGCTGCACAGAGCCAGGAATAGCCCAAGTGCGGCCCCAAAATCCAAATTAATTTTTAAAATAAAAATTTAAAATAAAGGCAAACGTCTGACACTTGCCTTGCATGTTCGCGGCCAACCTAGGTTTGATGCAAGGCATCACAGGCGGTCACCTGAGCCCCCCCCCCCCCCCCCCCGCCCCAGGAGTGATCCATGGGCACCATCAGGTGGCCCAAAGAATTTTTATTTTTTTTATTTATTTTTTGCTTTTTTGGGTCACACCCGGCGATGCTCAGGAGTTACTCCTGGCTCGTGCACTCAGGAATTGCTCCTGGCGGTGCTCGGGGGACCATATGGAGTGCTGGGAATCAAACCTGTGTTGGTCATGTTGGCTGCGTGCAAGGCAAACGCCCTACCCGCTGCGCTATTGCTCCAGCCCCCCAAAGAATTTTTAAACATTTCAAAAAAAAAATAAAAAGAACTGAGGGACTGGGTACACAGTGCAATGCGTTTTTGCCTTGTAAAAGGCCGATCCTGGTTCAAGCCCCGGCATGGCATATGGTTCCCCAGCTTGGCCAGGAGTGATTCCCTAATCACAGGTCCAGGAGTAAGGTGTGTGCACCACCAGACTGTCCCTCCCGGAGATTTCCCCAAAATAAAGGACCTACTAAAAATCAAAGACACACAGATGACCAATAAGCAGATCCACACAAATAACTTACTAGTCATCAGAGAAATAAAAATCAAAATTCCAGGGAGATACTACTTTATACCTACTTGGTCGGCAAAGTTTAAAAGACAGAAGCATGCATTAGCAGAGAAACTGGGACATCCGCACACTTCTGGTGGGAACGTAAAATAATGCAGTGCTTTAGGAAACAGTTTGTCAGAGCCTCAAAAGGTTAAAAGAGTTACCATATGACCTGGTAATTCTATTCATATGAATATGCACGAAGAGAAACAAAAAACATATGTGCTTACTAAAACTAAAACTTAAGACACAAATGCTTGGAGCAGCAATATTCATAATAACCAAGAAGTAGGAAAAGTCCACGTGATTAACAACAAATGAATAACAAATGGGGTATATCCATTCAACGGAATATTATTTGGTAGGAAAGGGCAAGTGTAATAATACATATGACTATGTGATGCACCTAAAAACACTGCGCCAAGGGAAAAGAAGCAAGTCATGAAGGACTAAATATTGTAAAACTCCATTACATTAAGTGTAATGCAAAGATAGTACATTAGTTATTAGCAGGGACTGGGAGGAAGAACAAAAATGGTACTGTGCATTGGGAATTTTTGTGGGATGTGATGAAAATGCTATAATATAATGATCTAGAACATTTATAATGTATATATGATGTTGAACATTGAGTGAGTAAATTGTAACACCGTCACTTGTACACTATAGAGGTTAATTTTATGATAGGTAAATTATATAATTTTATGATAGGTAAATTATATCTTAACAAAGCAAGGTTGGGGGGCGCATTGGTAGGGGCACACGAGACAGTGCTCTGGGAGACACCTGGCATTGCAGTCTTTGAAAACTCGCCCGCACAGCAAAGCCTGGCAAGCTACCCATGACATATTCAATACGCCAAACACAGTAACAATTGTCACAATGGAGATGTTTCTGGGCCCACTCGTGCAAACTGATAAACAACGGGAGGACAGTGACAGTGACAGTCTTTGAGAAGCCGGAGTGATAATACAGCAGGCATGGCGCTTGCCTTGCACCACAGCTGTTCCGGGTTCCATTCCCCGAATCCCGTGTGGTCCTCAGAAAACCGCCAGCAGTAATTCCTCAGTGCAGAGCCAGGAGTAACCCCTAAACACTGTCCAGTATGGCCCCAAGACAAAAACAAAATACATCTGCAAAAAAAAAATTTTTTTAAAGTCATCTGCACACAGGCCAGAGAGAGCAGTACAGCGGGGCAAGGAAATGCACACAGTTTACAGCATTTGATCCGCAGCACTCCGTAACGCGCCCCAAGCCCACCAAGAATGATACCTGAGAGCAGTCAGGAGTAAGCCTGAACATAGCCAGGTGTGGCCCAAAACACCAAAAAAGGAAAAAGAAAAAGACATCCGCACAGATCTCAAAAATGACTTTGCAAATACAGCATCAACTTTTCGATGTTTCTTCTAAGGATGCAGTATCAACTCCTGTACTTTGTTTTTTGTCGCTGTTGTTGTTGTTGTTGTTGATCAAATCCAGGTGTTTGTATATGGACATGCCCAGCACTTCTCAGGGTTTTCACCTGACTCTGGAGCTCCTGGAAGGGTTCCAGGGAAGAAACTGAGGTAGGTCATGTGCAAGGCAAGTGCCCAAACACACTGTACTCCAGACCCTCAAGTTCAATTTTTTTTTGTGGGGGGAACCACAGCTGGAGTTGCTCAGGGGTTACTCCTGGCGGCGGTGCTTGGAGGACTATCTGGGATGCCTGAACTTGAACCCGAGTTGGCCATGTGCAAGCCAAATGCCCACTCATTACCAGATCTAATAATTTTGGCTTCCTATTCATATTCTTTCAAGTGAACACAGAAAAACTATGAAAACAAAAATCAACCCTTGAAATTCAACATAACTTTTTAAAAAACTGAAATATAAAAGAAATGTCAATTTCATTTTAGCATCTAGCATTCTTTCATCCTGAATCTGAGACGACAAACATAACTCAGGGACCTGAACAAATTGCTGACTTTCCTGACTGGATAAACAGCAATTCACATCTGCTTTGATGAAAATGTAAATATTTACCTGGGTCAAAGAGACAGAATTCTGTAAGCCTAGTGTTCCCAAAAGAGGAAGACAAAGTATCATGCTTTATTTTTTTTTTATTCAAAACTTTATTCAGGATTCATTTAATTTGGCTAGGGTAAAACACAGCCGACGGTTTACACTAAACAATGTATACTCCGCTCTTGCCTAAAACTACTGAAAACATGGCATTATAAAAGGGGGGGGGGGTGGTGAGCGGGAATCACTGCACGGGCTAAATCTGACACAGATACTAATCTCCAAACTGGCTCCTTAAAAGTGCCTGCGGGAGTCCTATTTTGGAAACTCCCCAAGTCCTTTCGTCTCCACGCGCATATTCTCGGAGCATCTCGTGGGGTGCCAAGCAGTGCGCCAGGGTGTCCTGGTGAGCTAGAAACGGCGCGGGCTGGCGCTCGCGGGACACTTTCCCCCAAGTTCGCCCCTTAAAAAAAACTTCGAGATCGAGCGTGAAAGGAAGGAGAAAACAAAATAACCCTCCTAGACGCGGCCCCCCAAGGGCCGCGGGGGGTGTCCGCCTTTGCCTTGCGCGCGCCCCAGCTCATTTCCTCCGCCCCGACGGCCGCGGAAACGCAGCGCGGGGGTGGGGGGGTCCCTCCCGGCTCCCGGGGCCGGGGCCACACCCCCGAGGCCCCCGCGGCTGCACGTCCTCCGCCCGCCCCGACGGCCCCCAACTCCCGCCGAAGCTGCCCGGGGCAGGGGGCAGAGCGTGCCCGCCACCAGCAGCAGCCGCGGCACGATGCAGCCGCCAGGCTCGCTCACCCGGGCCCGGGCCCAGCCGCGCCCGCACCTGGAGGGCCGCGGGCACCTGAGGCCGGGGGCGGGGCCGACACCTGTCTCGGCCGGGCCGGGGGCGGGGCGCGGGGGCGGCGCTGCCCGAGGGGCGCCCCGGGTCGCCCGCGCGCTCCCCCCGCCCCGGCACGGCCTCGCGAGCGCCCGGGCCGCGCCAGGCCCGGCCCGGCTGGCACCCCCGGAGTTCCACAAAGAAAGTCTCCCGGCCCGCGCCCCGCGCCCCGCGCCCCGCGCCCCGCGCGCACTCACCGGCGCCGGCGCCGGCTGCGACTCGGGCTCCCGCCGCCTACGGCTCCGTGCCGGGGCCGGCCCCGGGCTCGGCTCGGACGCCGGCGACGGCGACGGCTCCATCCCCGCGCGGGGCCCCGGCCGGCCGCGTCCGCCTCCAGCTAACGGTCCCGCCAGCCTAGGCGCGCGCGCCGGCCCCGCGCGCCATGTTCCCGCCGCGCACGCGCGCGCGCCCCCGCCGACGCCTCCCCGCGCCGGCCGCACCGCGCACGCGCGCCCCCGCCGCGCCCCCTCCCCGCGGGCCGCTCTTCCCGGCACGGCGCGCGCCCCCTCCGCGGCGGCCCGGCCCGGAGGGCTCACTCTTCCCGGCTGGGCGCCCCCGCCCGCCGGGCGGCCGGGGCATCCCCACCCCCCACCCAGGGGCCCAGCCCCCCCAGCCCGCCCCCCGCCTGGCATCGCCAGACTTGGGCACCGTGCACGTGGGGCGGGGGCTCGCGGGCCAGGAAGAAATGCCTCCCTCCCCGACCCCGCAAAAGGGTGCCACGGTCAGGGCGCCCCCACCCCACAACCTCCACCCCCCCGACGTGCACGCATGCAGGCACGTGCGCCAGCGTACTGAGGTGCACGGCGATGCCAGACTCCGTGCACAGCTCGAGGCATGCCACGGGCTTTCGTGGACGTCGCAAGGAAGGTCTGCAAAACTAAGACGCGTTGGAGGGTTCCAGAAAGAAGCCGCATCAAGTGTCCCAGGCCGTGTGGCAACTGGGTGGCAAGGCCTTCCGGAATTCGGTAATGGTAGAGGGGGCAACTCCCGGAGTGGTGTCTCGCCTCCACGTCTTCCAGATCGGGACGTCTTAAACAAGGGACCCGGCCAAGAGCCGGAGCTTTGGTTTCTGCAGCTCCAGAGCGGGCTCGGAGCCTTAGATCTGGCAGGGCTGGTGGCGGGAGCTTTGCAGGTTGATGCGGCTGCATCCCTGAGCACGGTGCCTGGCACGCCCCTAGCACCGCTGGAATCATCCTGGCCCTACGCTTCCAAAACTCCTAAAAGTTGCATCAAAGGGGCCTGGACTCCCAGACACTGCGGTATAATTAGCTGGGCGGGGTTCGCTCAACCTTGGGGCTGCAGAGACTCTTCCCAAACCTCTCTGAAAACCCTAACATTGGCAGAGGAGCGACAGCACAGAATGACTTTCCCCACTGGCCGTGAAGAGACAAGTTTCCAAGGATCCCTTGCTGTTTGTAGAGGGTTGCACTCATTAATCTGGCCTTTTTCAGATACAAATGACAAAACAAGCCAATCTGTAGAAGCCAGTAAGTACCCATCAAGTAATTGAAAAATCCCGGGGTGGTACCACACTACCAGACAGAGCCTGACCCAGGTGCTCAAACAAGAACGTCTTTCTCTGATCTCTTCTCTCAGCTTTGCTTCCCAGGAATGACTTCATCCTCATGCCATTCTCTCCACAACGTCGTGACCACTTTTCCCAGTTCCTATCTGACCAGAAAAGCAGGCGCCGTCTCCCACCAGTTCCAGCCAAAGCCTTAGGGTTGATTCATACGAGCCGTCTGGGTCACATGTTCCTACCTGAGCCAATCACGGAAGAGGAGCACAACAGCGTCTAAGGCACGCCAATCAAGGACGAATAAAAATCACCGGTAGAGGGGCTGGAGCAATAGCACAGCGGGTAGGGCGTTTGCCTTGCACGCAGCCAACACGGGTTCGATTCCCAGCATCCCATATGGTCTCCTGAACACCACCAGGGGTGATTCCTGAGTGCAGACCAGGAGTAACCCCTGTGCGTCGCTGGGTGTGACCCACAAAGCAAAAAAAAAAAAAAAATGACCGGTAGAGAGTCAAAGAGATAGTACAGCGGGTAACCCCTGAACATCGCCGGGTGTGGCTCAAAAACAAACAGTGGTAGAGAATATTTTATCGCTATCTTCTAGGAAGGGGTAAGATCTGCCACTCCAAAAGGACATAGAGTAGACGCGCGAGGGTGGGAGGGGGCTAGAGGATGCTTACTCTGTAGAAGAATAGAGATGCGATTACCATGGGGACCCTCAGATGTAGGGCCAGCAACGAGAACTGTTCACTGCCCCATCATTGAACTTCAGGGACTTAAGGAGCACACACTTATTTTTCAGAAGGCAGCAGAGACTTTTTCTCACAAGACCTGGCCCTCCCCTTCTCGCCTACCTGCCCTAGGCAGTTCGTCACAGGATCTCAACTCTCCACCCATATTTTCTTGCTCCCCCAAAAGTTGATTAGGTGCAGAGCCAGGAGTAGCTGCTGAGCACTGCTGGGTGTAACCAAAGAATAAACTTTCTAAGGCTCCCTCTACCTGTGCTCCTGTCTTTAAAGACAGAAAGCGACATGCATGGAGAACTACCATATGAAAGCCACTTTAGTTTGTGTTTTTGGGTTTTTTTTTTTTTGAAGGAAAGGGGAACCATCACCACCACCCGCACCACCCAGGTGGTTCTCAAGGCTTACCCCTGGCTCTGCATCGGGGTCACTCCTGCTGGGCTCAGGGGACTATATAGAGTGCCTGGAACTAAATCCAGGTAAGCTGCATGCAAGGCAAACACCCTACCTGCTCCACCACCTCTCCAGTCCTATCACGTTAGTTTTAATTGTGGGGACCACACCCAGGCATGAGTGGGGACCCAGCAGAGCCTGATGCCCAGCAGGGCCATTCCCAGCAGTGCTGGGCAATTGGGGCATGAAGCTCCAGAGACTGAACCTAAGACTCGGCGTGTTCAAGGCTTGCACCCAACCACTGCAAGTTGGCCTCCAACGATTAGGAAAGATGAAATCCTACCTTTGGAGAACACCTGGGTGGAACCAGAGGGGTTAATGGTAAGTGAAAGAAAAAGGGCAACAAATACTGAATGATTCACTCATATGTGGTGTATAAAGAAAACGCAGGAGAATAAACCATGCTGAATGTGTGAAACAGACTTGTCTTGGACTCTGATAATAGATTCAAGGTTACCAAAACAGAGATGGGGAGGAGGTTAGGGGTGGGAAGGGATAGAGAGAGACTGTAACACTTCCGGGATTGCAGGGGGAGAGACTGAAGTGAGGTGAGATAGGGAAAGGTTTGGTTAGAGAGAGAAGGTGGATGCGGGGTGGGTTCTGGTCAGCAGCTGAATCCTCCTCTTGAATGTCATTTCCTTATGGCTGCTATAACAAATCACCCCGAATTAGGTGACTGTGACTTGAAACACAATGTGCCTGTCTCCCACTCCTTTTCCCATTATTGTTGTCGCACTCAGTGCTCCAACACTTGGTTGCACTTCACTGGAGACAGCATACTTGTGGCACCAGAGTCCACAATAGCAGTGCTGCAGAGGGCCACTGTGGCACATGGAGTAAGGTAGGGACCAATTCATGGCTTTGGGAGATGTGGTACAGCAAGCCGGGCACCTGCCTAGCACATAGACAACCCAGGTTTTTTGTCTGCTTGCTTGCTTTTTGGGTCACACACGGCGGTGCACAGGGGTTCCTCCTGGCTCTGCACTCAGGAATTACTCCTTGGTGGTGCTCAGACCATATGGGATGTTGGGAATCGGACCCGGCTTGACCGCGTGCAAGGCAAACGCCCTACCCGCAGTACTATCGTTCCAGCCCCCACAATCCAAAGTTTGATCTCTGGCACTGCATATAGTTCTCCAAGGCTACCACAGCCAGAAGTGATCCTTGAGCACAGAGTCAGGAGAGAGCCCGGAGCACCAGTGGGTGTGGCCAAAAAACAGACAAAAAAAAAATTTCATGGCTTCATGACTACAAGACAGAGGGTGTCCAGGCTTCCAGATCACAGAGCTGGACCTACTCACAGTAGGTCCAACATTAAAGATGTCCACAAGACAGATGCTCTACAACCGAGCCATATGTCCAGAATTTGCACAAATTTTATTTCGTGTTTTATAGATCCAAAGTGTGAAATCACTTGCACTTGGCTAAAGTCAAAGTGTAAAGGACTGTGGTTCTTTCCAAAGGGTCTGAGGGGAGAATCCTTTTTTCCCCTTTCCCATTGTCTAATGTTTGTCTGTAATTCTTGGCTTGTGACCTCTTCCTCTGTTTTCAGATTGCAATACTATCCCTTCTCCCTCTTCCTGTGCCTCTATAGAAGGAACTCTAGGCTGGCATTGAGCCCGCCTGAAGAATACAGGTTAATCTTCCTGTCTGAAGATCCTAACGACACTTGCAAACTTTCTTTCGCCACATAGAAGAATAGACTTCTAAGTCCCGTGGATTCAGATAAAGACATCTTTGGAGACTACTACCCTGCCATGCACAGCAGGTACAATCAGAGGGAATTAATACCAAGTCCTGGAATCAGAGGAGCTGCCTGACTCTGCCCCAGGAGGGGGGAAAATGCCCTAAGAAACAACCACCTTCACAATAAATGTGAAAATGAGCTCCAGCTCATCTAACTTGGCGATCTCAGGCTTGTTCCTTTACATATGAAAACCATCTAAATCCCCAGCTGGCCCCTTCCACCAGACCGGCCAAGCCTCAGAAGACTCACAGACCCTTTGACTGGAGATTGCCAACCACCAGCACCACAGCCACCACTGCCATTGCCTGCATGCGCGGCCCCAGCTGCCTCACCAGCAGCATCTGAACCAGGTGTGTGAGATTCATGATCTGATGTGCCAGCTACCTCGTGCCTGACATCAGCTGGACGAAGGTCCAAGAGGAGCAGGTCAGAAAGAGAAGTTGGTCAATGGAATGGCCCGAGCTTCTATAATCTTGAAACAACCCATCTTTTCCAAGATGTAATCTGCATGGGCCTAGTCCTGGCCTACGGTGTCCAGGCTTCCAGATCACAGAGCTGGACCGACTCATAGTAGGTCCAACATTAAAGATGTCTACATCAGCCCCTTTGGAGAATTTACCGTGTTTGTCTTTTGGGTCACCCTCGACTTGGTGTGACCAGCTCCGTGCTCAGAGGACTGAGGTACTGGGGATGGAACCGAGACATCCTGTAGTAAAGCTTGTGCTCCAACTGGGATGTTCTCTCCAGCATATCTTTCATTTCCTTGTTTTGAGCCCCAGGAACACAAATAGTGGTGCTGTGGGGCCTGCCCCAGCTGTGCACGGGAGCTCTCTCAGAGATGCTCCAGGCATCATGGGGTGCCAGGGATCAAGCCCTGTCTCTCACATGCAAGACTTGTTCCAGCCATTCAGGCCTTCCCCCCAGCCCTCTTTTCAGTTTTATCAGTGGGAGTAAATATTGAAGCATGGTTGAACATGCAACTATGGAGATGAGATGTTTCGTTTTTTTTATTCACACCTGGCAGAGCTCGTCCTCGTCCGGGATCTGGATTTTATAGTCTCTGAGTCTTGGCCGCTGATGGGATTACACGGCGCCAGAACAGTGCAGTCTTTTGCCCCCGGGCCTGGATGTCCCTCGCTGGGACCCCTTGGAGGGGAGTGGGTCGAGCTTTCCTCCCCACCCCGACCGGGGCTCCGGCAGCCGAAGACCTCCAGGACCAGCCACCACCATGCTGAGACCACTCTCCGCACACATGAAGGTACTGGCAGAGGGACAAAGCCACGCGGGTTCCGGGGCCGAGACTTCCAAGCCTACTCGAATTGGAGTCGAGCATCTTCCACCCAGACTATAAAATCCAGATCCCGGAACCACGCGGCCGCATTCGCGGCCTCGCGACATCTTATCAGAACTTTTCTTTATGACATCTTATTATCTCATTCCTACTTTGGACAAACTTGCAGGCTATCGAATGTAGCCTGCCCACAGGGCAGTCTGGCAAACTCCCCATGGCGTACCAAATATGCCAAATACCAGTAACAATGATGGGTCTCATTCACCTAAAGAGCCGTGAATATAATCTCAGGGCTAGGATGAAAGAGACGTTACTGGGGCCTGCTCGAGGCAATCGACGATTAACCTGGCAGAGCTCAGGGCTACTCCTCGTCTTGTGCTCAGGGATCACTTCTGTCAAGGCTTGGTGGGATCCAAGTGTGTTGGGAGCCTGTGCTAGTTAATATTAAGAAATTTGTCCTGGGGACATGTTGTCTAAAGGCTGGTTCATAGAAACCATTGTCTTGGGTTTACACAATCTAAGGGCTGACTTTCTTGTTTTTCTAGCAGGCTTTTTTCAGTTCTTGTGGCAGACCATGTTGCTAAGGTGTATCAATATATAACCAAGGAAAATACCATGGAAACTATGTAATTATAGAAAAACATCACTGATGTCTAAAAGCCCAGTACAGGGGCTGGAGCAATAGCACAGCGGGTAGGGCGTTTGCCTTGGACAGCTGACCCGGGTTCGATTCCCAGCATCCCATATGGTCCCCTGAGCACCGCCAGGGGTGATTCCTGAGTGCAGAACCAGGAGTGATCCCTGTGCATCTCCAGGTATGACCCGAAAAGCAAAATAAATAAAATAAATAAAAGCCCAGTACATTCCAAACTTTGTATACTGAACATTCCTATATATTTTTCCAATGTATGTTCCCTTCTGGAGATCTATAAAAGTCTGTTGCCTGTTCAATAAATGCTGCATGAGCACTGTCAGCTTACCCCGTTGCCCTTCTCCCTTCGCACCGGGGACCATGTTCGACTTAGCTGTGCGGGACGTGGCACATGTGGGTTGCTGGGGATCAAACCCAGATCAAATGTGTGGACATGTTCAAGTCAGATGCCTTATTTTTATGTCTTGGGCCCCACATTCGTTTTCATCCTGAAGCCCCGGGTTGAGTCTTAGTTCTGCACTTGAAATTGCTCGGCCCTGCTAAGCCTGGGTTCCTCACCGATCACTACCCAAGCATCGCTGTGGGACCCAGACAAGGTCAGCCAGCCAGAGGCCAGGTTTCATACAGACATCCAGGATCATTCTGGGTCAACATGACATCTTCATGTCTTATCCACGTTCCCCAGGGCCAAACAGCTCTGGAAATGAAGAGTCATGCATGATTAACTTGGCAGAAGACACTGACCTGAACTGATGGAAGAACTTTTCTCTTTTATTATAAAGTATGGCTTCAGAAATATTCAGTTATTTGGTTATAGGACTCTGCATGGTGTCAAAGGCAATGAAGTTGATGTCCCATTTCCCCTTCAGGGAAACTCTGATTTTGCAACTTAACCAGCCCAAGGCTTCAGTGTCTAAGGAGTATGTGTGTGTGTCTTTGTCAAGGTGAGAAGAATTCACACTGCCTGTGAAATAAGTGCACAGGTACCAGCCATCTCCTGAGGCCTGGGAAAGCTACTCTCCACAACCCCACCCCCATCATTTGGTGCCCTTTCCTGGCAAATTTCAGCAGCTGCAGAAACCTTTGAAATCTGTCAGCATGGCTGAAAACTTCAGGCTCAATGGAAACGGGAATGGGTGACCTCCCCCCATCTCCCGCCTTTTCTGGCAGTTTGGCAGTCACCCCCACAAGCCATCTCTGGCACCATCATAATCTCATCAATAACCATGATCCAGAGATTCAACAATAAATCTCTCGGAAGAGAGGATAGACCGATACACCATATGCAGAGCAATCCAGAGGGGAGCTGGTTTATTCCCCTCCCCGCTCCGACGGAGCCAGCCAGTAGAAGGCAACCAACTTTCATACGAGACTCAACCTTTAACAACATGTTACTAATCTCTTATAGAAGGGCTTAAAAGCTCCTGGGTGAAATACAGCAATCTTCACACACTTTCCTCTAAGAAACCTTTTTTGGATCATTTTTAGCAACTATTCATAAGAAGCAGTACAAAAAAAATTATTTCAGTTCTGCTTTGGGAGTAGGGTTTGGAGTTCGGGATGGAGACATCCAAATTCTGTGGTGGGAAGGTGCAATTGTGGGGGAACTGGTGTTTGAATACTAAGTGTAATCAAATATTGTGAACAACTTTATAAAAATAAAATTTTTTTAAAAATTTGAACAGCAGGAGCGACAGCACAGCGGGTAGGGTGTTTGCCTTGCATGCGGCCGACATGACCGACCCGAGTTTGATTCCTCTGCCCCTCTTGGAGAGCCTGGCAAGCTACGGAAAGTATCTCGCCCACACGGCAAAGCCTGGCAAGCTCCCCGTGACATATTCAAAATGCCAAACACAGTAACAAGTCTCACAATGTTACGGGGCCCACTCGAGCAAATCGATGAACAACGGGAGGACAGTGACAATGACAGTGAAAAATTTTAAAAAGTCAGGATGGATACAATACAGTAAAAAGAGGTCGCTAAACCAACCATGACCCCAGAGTATAGGAAGGAGAAGGACATAGGGGAGAAGTAAAACGAGGCAGGTGGGGGCTGAGGAGAGTACAGCAGGTGAGGTGCTTGTCTCGCAAGCAGTCAACCTGGGTTCAATCCCTAGCACCATATATGGTCCTGGGGTGATTCCCACCAGGAGTGATGCCTGAAAACTGAGAACAGAGTCAGGAGTGAGCCTGGTGATAAGCCAGGAGTAAGCCACACACTGTAAGGTGTGGCCCAAATCTCCCCTCCCCAGCAAAAAAGAGGGAGAGCTAGAGCAATAGCATAGTGGGTCGAGCACTCGTCTTGCACATGGCCAACCCGGGTTCAACCCCCAGCCAGCAATACCAATGGTCCGCCGAGTCTGCCAGGAATGATCCCTGAGCAAAGAGGCAGGAGTAAGTGCTGAGCACTATCAGTGGAAGAGGAGGAGTGGGAGGAGGAGGAGGGAGAAGAGGATGGGGGAGAGGAGGAAGAAAAGGAAGAGGAGGGGAAGAAGAGGAGGAGGAGGAGAAGGAGGAGGAAGAAGAAGAAGAAGAAGAAGAAGAAGAAGAAGAAGAAGAAGAAGAAGAAGAAGAAGAAGAAGAAGAAGAAGAAGAAGAAGAAGAAGGAGGAAGAAGAAGAAGAAGAAGAAGAAGAAGAAGAAGAAGAAGAAGAAGAAGAAGAAGAAGAAGAAGAAGAAGAAGAAGGAGGAGGAAGAAGGAAGAAAAGAGGAAGGAGGAAGGGAAGAAGAAGGAAAAGGATGAGGAGGAGGAGGAGGATGAGGAGGAGGAAGAGGAGAAGAAGAAGGACAGGTGGGAAGTAATGTGGAAAAGGCTAGTGGCCTAGTGGAGAGGGGCAGGGCCAAGGGCCTCAGTAAATTGCCGGTGTGGGGGAGTGGTATAGCTGTATCCAAAACACAGACTTCACAACACTGAAACCTTGAGATCCAAATTTCAAAATATGCCTCCTCTCCAGGTGACAGGCTCAGGGTGATGGGGAGGTACTGGGAACACTGCTGAAGGGAAACTGACACTGGTGGTGGGACTGGTGCTAAAATATTTTAAGTCCAAAACTCAACGACCAGTAACTTTGTACATCACAATTCTTAAAAAACTCAGCATGGGGGGCTGGAGTGATAACACAGCGGATAGGACGTTTGCCTTGCACACTGCCGACCTGGGTTCGATTCCCAGCATCCCATATGGTCCCCTGAGCACCGCCAGGGGTAATTCCTGAGTGCAGAGCCAGGAGTGACCCCTGTGCATTGCCAGGTGTGATCCAAAAAGAAAAAAAAAAAAAAACTGGTGTGGAGAGGTAGCAGAGCGAGAACGAGAAAAGTACTTGCTTGGAGCCAGGTAGACCCCAGTTCGATCCCTGACCCTGTGTATGGTCCCCCAAGCACAAGTAGGAGTGATTCCTGAGCACAGTCAGGAGGAAGCCCTGAGTACTGCCAAGTGTGGGCCCTAAACTAAAGGGCATTTGCCTTGCATGCGGCTGGCCTGGCCGACCAGGGTTCGATTCCTCTGCCCCTCTCGGAGAGCCCGGCAAGCTACCGAGAGTATCTCGCCCACACGGCAAAGTCTGGCAAGCTCCCCGTGAGATATTTGATATGCCATACACAGTAACAACAAGTCTCACAATGGAGACGTTACTGGGCCCTTTAGAGCAAATCGATGAACAACGGGAGGACAGTGCTACAGGCAGTGCTACAATTTAATTTGCAACCGCTTGTCCAGGGCAACATCCTGAGGCACCTATCAGGTGGGAGCCAAGGCTGAGCACCAAACCAAACACCCCCGACTTCAAATGAATGTCTGCGCACTGCGGCACGCAACCAGGCAGCGAGCTCAAGTGAAAGCACAGTTCTAACTACCTTTTAATAGTGTATTGATGATGGGAGAAGAGTCACTGTTCCCTTAATCAAATAAAGTGATGGGGGGACGGGGGTTGGGAATCGCAGCAGCTTCTGGGAAGGTCCATGACTCCTTCGCCTGAGCTCATGAGACAGCGGCACACACAGCCCGGCGCTTCCTGGGGCCAGCATTGTCGGCATCCCCTTCCAGGCGCCGCTTCTGACTCGTGGAAGGCTGGAAATGATGAAAAGGGCGACATGGTCAAAGAGAACAATTTGCTTCCTTAGGATCGGCAAAATCGGGGCTGGAGCGATAGCACGGCAGGTAGGGCGTTTTCCTTCCACGCGGCGGACCCCTGTTTGATTCCCAGCATCCCACATGGTCCCCAGAGCACCACCAGGGGTAATTCCTGAGTGCAGAGCCAGGAGTGATCTCTGTGCATCACCAGGTGTGACCCAAAAAGAAAAAAAAAAAAAAAAATTGGCAAAATCGGCCCCGAGCAATAACACAGAGGGCGAGGCGACTGTCTGGCATGTGGCTGACCCGGGTTCCATCCCTGGTTTCACAGCCCTGAACACCGCCAGCACTGAGCCAGGAGTAAGCACTGAACACCACTGGGTGTGCTCCCACACACAGACCAAAGGAGGATGAGTAAAGTCCCCCACTGTGCATTTAATGATGTAGGGGCACTTCACAGAAAACTTCCCACACTAAGACATACTGCTTGTCCTCAATCACATATAGACCCTCACCTCCCCACAATTCTCTCCCTTGTGCTCCCAACCACTCGGACTATCTATGGACAAAGAGCAGCATAAAATACCAGCTCTTGGGCTGGAGCGATAGTACAGTGGGTCTAGTGTTTGCCTTGCATGTGGCCAACCCGGGTTCGATTCCCAGCATCCCATATGGTCCCCCAAGCACCGCCAAGAGTGATTCCTGAGTGCAAAGCCAGGAGTAACCCCTGAGCATCGCCGGGTGTGACCCAAAAAAGGAAAAAAAAACCCTACCAGCTCTTGGCAGTTTTTTTCTAAATCATAGCCTTTAAAGTGACTCTACTAGGCCCACATCCAAAAGAACAAAAGCAACCGGTGTTGGTGTGGATGTGGCAAGAAAGGGACCCTCCTTCACTGCTGGTGGGAATGCTGACTGATTCATACTGATTTTTGGAAAACAGTATGGACAATTCTCAAAAAATTAGAAATTGAGCTCCCATTTGACCCAGCAGTACCACTACTGGGAATATATCCCAGAGAGGCAAAAAAGTATAGTCGAAATGACATTTGCACTTCTGTTCATTGCTGCACTATTCACAATAGCCAAAATCTGGAAAAAACCCAAGTGCCCGAGAACAGATGACTGGTTAAAGAAACTCTGGTACATCTACACAATGGAGTACTATGCAACTGTTAGAAAAGGTGATGTCATGAAATTTACATACAAGTGGTACTACATGGAAAGTATCATGCTAAGCGAAATGAGTCAGAAAGAGTCGAACAGACATAGAAAGATTGCTTTCATCTGGGGAATATAAAGTAACAAATTCAGAGACTAACACCCAAGAATAGCCGAGATACGTACCAGGAGGTTCACTCCATGGCTTGGAGACCAGCCGCACATGCTGAGGGAGAAGGCAGCTCAGATAGAGAGGGGAGCATCAAGTAAAGGGTGTCGGGAGGAGCCTCCCAGGATGAGAGATGCATGCTGAAAGTTGACTATATATCGAACATGACTGCCACTCAATGCCTCTTTTGCAAACAGCACCCAAAAGGAGAGAGAGAACAAAAGGGAATGCCCTGCCACAGGGGTGGGGTGGGATGGGGGAGAGGGGTGGGAGGAACATTGAGAGCATTGGAGTTGGGGAATGGGCACCGGTGGAATGATGGGTACTCAATCATTGTATAACTGAAACCCAAGCACTAAAATCTGTAAGGTCAACAACTGTACCACATGGAGTTTCACTAATAAGGTAAGGTGAAGGCCCTCCCGTTGACCGTCGATTTGCTCAAGCGGGTCCAGTAACGTCTCCATTGGAGACTTTGTTGTTACTGTGTCTGGCATATCGAACACTCTCGATAGCTTGCCGGGCTCTCCGAGAGGGGTGGAGGAATCGAACTCGGGTCGGCCATGTTGGCCGCTTGTAAGGCGAACGCCCTACCCGCTGTGCTATTGCTCCATAAAAAATTTAAAAAAAAAAAAGTGACTCTACTAGCTCTCACTGGAAGAGAAAATCTTTGATGGCAAACAATCTTTTCCCCATTATTAATTGATGGTGGTGGGGGGGGGGGGGGGTTCTTAGATCAGAGAGAGTGTAATTCACCAAAATAAGACAGGATAAAAATTAACAGGGGGGTCAGAGAGATAGTACAGGGGGAGGTACTTGCCATGCAAGTGGCCAACCTGTTTGAGCCCTGGCACTCATATGGTCCCCTGAGCAGCACCAGGGGTAACTCCTTAGCACAGAGCCAGGAATAAAACCCCTGAGCACGACAGGTGTGCCCCCAGACACCAGCACCTCCCCACAACAAAAGAAGAATGGATAGATACTTATACTTACAAGGACCTTTTACTTACAAAGAACTTTAGAAAAATAAAATTATAATCAATAAAGCATCAAACACTTATCCAAATTTTCAATTTCTTCCTTCCACCCTTTCATGGGGGACACAGACTCTCAAGTGGCTTTCAGGACACCCAGGGATGGGGGTGGGGGGCATCACTTAGCAATTCTTCTTTTTTTAATTGAATCACCGTGAGATATAGTTACAAAGCTTTCATTATTTGAATTTCATTCATACAATGATAGAAAACCCATCCCTCCACCAGTGCGCATTTTCTACCACCAATGTCCCCAGTGTCCCCCTCCCCCATCCCGACCCTTCCCCTGCCTCTATGGCAGACAATTTCCCCCATACTCTCTCTCTCTACTTTGGGCATTATGGTTTGCAATACAGATACTGAGAGGCCATCACATTTGGCCCTTTATCTACTTTCAGCACAAATCTCCCATCCCAAGCAATCCCTCCAACCATCGTTGACTTAGTGATGCCTTCACTTAGCAATTCTTGACAAACCAGGCCAGCAGTTGGATGTGAGGGCCCAGTGGGAACGAGGATTACTCCAGGGGCCTCCAGGGATGAAGGAGGGAGAGAGAGATGAAGGGAGGGAGGGAAAGGAAAAAGGAAAAAAGGAAAAAGGAAAAAGAGCAACCCCAGTAACTGCTGTTAACTCATCCCAACTGATCACCCCTGCTCATTAACTCTTTACTTTTTTTTTTTTGCTTTTTTTTGGGGGGGGGGTCACACCCGGCAATGCTCAGGGTTCACTCCTGGCTCTGCACTCAGGAATTACTCCTGGCGGTGCTCAGGGGACCATATGGGATGCTGGGAATTGAACTCGGGTCAGCCGCAGGCAAGGCAAACGCCCTACCCTCTGTGCTATCGCTCCAGCCCCTATTCATTAGTTCAAAATACCTGAGCCGAGAGGTGAGGCAAACCCGTCGATGTGTTTTCTTCAAAAAGCAAATTCTGGAACTTTCTCTTCATGGCCTCATCCTGTGGAGAGGAAAAGCATATGCCATTGGCTGTATCTGAACGGAAGGGATGTTCTTGGCACCTGGGGGCTAGGATGCCCCTGGCAACAGCCAAGGGGCAGAGGTGTCTAACCCCCAAAAGACCAAGCCCAGGTCGAAACTCCAGGGTCAAAGACCACACGTTTCTCAAGTGCGCCTGTCCCCAGTCCTCTCATTAGAAGTGAGTGCTGATCAACACTGTCTGAATCAAACCCAACACCTAAGATCTCTCTGTGGAGAGACCCACATGTGATAGCAGGCAAAAGACATTCAGAAACTGCATCCCATGCCAAGAGACAGCAATCCGAAGGAGAGAGGTGCTCAGGACTGACCCCTGGTGGTGCTCGAGGGAACATATATGGCGCCAGGGATGGAAAGGGGGTCAGCCACAAGCAAGGCATTGCCATAACTTCTGTACTATTTCCCCAGCCCTGAGGTAAATAAGTCCCAGAGACTCACAAAGGAATCTAGGAACCAAGCAGCTCACTGCAGGGATGGCTCCAGACCATGCACCTGGCTGATTTCACTCAGATGGGAGCAAGCGTCCTCTCTCCACCTGCACCAGATGAACCACAGCAGCCCCCAACTCCCAGAAACCGATCACTGCCACCCTCACTACTGATCTTCACGGGCTTGACCTGGGCTTCTCACGTAACAGACTAAATCCACTAAAACCCAGGTATGCGGGATCAGTGACTGAAAACACCAGGCCTCATGGGGTCGGGACTGGGCCATCCCTTCCCATCTCCCCGCCCTTACGGGGTCCTGGCTGTCCCACTCACAAACTGCCTCTGGGTGCCATTTAAGCACATTAACAGCAATGACCCAGAGACTTACAAATGACTCTCGGAACTGAGCAGCTAACTGCAGAGATGGCTCTGGACCTCTATTATTTAAACTTTTATAATCCCAGGAGTGTTATCTCATTATATGTGTGTGTATATACATATATATGTCACAGTCACAGTCCTCCCATTGTTCATCGATTTGCTCGAGCGGGCCCAGTAACGTCTCCATTGGAGACTTTGTTGTTACTGTGTCTGGCATATCGAATACGTCACGGGGAGCTTGCCAGGCTCTGCCGTGCAGGCGAGATACTCTCGGTAGCTTGCCAGGCTCTCCGAGAGGGGCGGAGGAATCGAACTCGGGTCGGCCATGTTGACTGCGTGCAAGGCAAATGCCCTACCACTATGCTATCACTCCAGCCCATATATATACATATATATATATATATACACACACACACACACACGTAGCACTGTCCTCCCGTTGTTCATCGGTTTGCTCGTGCGGGCTCAGTAACGTCTCCATTGTGAAACTTGTTGTTACTGTGTTTGGCATATCGAATACGTCATGGGGAGCTTGCCAGGCTCTGCCGTGCAGGCGAGATGCTCTCAGTAGCTTGCCAAGCTCTCCGAGAGGGGTGAAGGAATTGAACCTGGCTCAGACGGGCGCGCAAGGCAAATGCCCTACTGCTGTGCTATATATATACATATATATATTATATATATATTTGCTTTTTGTTGACTCACTGTGAGATAGACCCTTACAGACGTCCCATACTATTTATAACAAGAAATACAGAATAAATTATCTCGCATCTGCCTGTGGGGCAGGCTTGAGTGGTGATGATTAACTTCGAAATAATGGTGGCGGGAAGATGTAATGGTGGTGGGATGGGTGTTGAAATATTGAATGTCATTAATTATCGTGAACAACTTTATGAAAATAAAATTTAAAATTAAAATAAAAAAAAAGAGAAGTCCCAGTCTCACTGTTAATCAGGTAAGAAAGCATGCTTGGCAGTGGAAGGGGACAACATCTCAGAGGGGTCAGTGGTTCAAATCACATCTTCCTGGGCGTCCAGAGATCCTACCATCTCTGACACCACCATCTCGGCAATGTGCTGGGTATGCGTCAGCTACTAGGTTGGGCTCCTGTCCTGAATTACTCAGATTTCCAAGACGCCGAACACGCTGGGTTTCATCAAAACTCAAAGCTCCAATTTGCATGTGGCTTAGGTCTACAGGCCCGGGGCAGGTCTGCGGTCCAGGCAGGGCTCAGTACAACTCCGTTCCTAAGCTGCTTACTGAAACAGGCACTCGGCACTCCACAGATTCTATTCACAGCCAAAAAAAAAAAAAAAAAAAAGTCATGCAAACAAATGAGCTGTGTAGATGGAGCAGCTTAGGATGGCAAACAGCCAAGTGATGAAGTTTCGGTAACAAGAATAAGGCTGGGATGTGGCAACGAGGGGCTTTGCTGGTCAAGATCCACCAGGCCCTGAGCCTCTGCGGGCCGCAAATCATTCGGTTCCTTGCTAGCCAGCTGGCAGGGTTCTGGTGGCGGAGACTCCAGTGACATCAGGAGCGGAGGATGCTGGACAGCTAGTGAGAAACAGGGTGACAGCAGCTCAGCGGAATGACAAAAAGGTGCAGGAAGCGTGAACCTAGTCACCAAGTTGGTGACTCGCCAAGATTTGTCAAAAGTGTTAAGGGGTTGGAGAGATGGTACAGAGGGTGAGGTGCCTTCTTGCCTTGCATGCTGCCCAATCCAGGTTTGATCCCGGCATCCCATACAGTCCCCTGAGCACCGCCAAGAGTGACTGCTGAGTGCAGAGCCAGGAGTAACCCCAGAGTATCACCAGGTGGGGCCCAAAAATAGAATAGAATTAAGAGGGTCAGAGCAATAGCACAGTGGGTAGGGTGTTTGCCTTGTACGTGGCTGACCCGGGTTTGAGCCCTGGCATCCCACTGCCAGGAGTGATTCCTGAGTGCAGAGCCAGGAGTAATCCCTGAGCATCACCAGGTATGACCCCCAAACATCAATAAAAAAAGAATCAAAGGAAAGGGCAGGGGTGATGACTTAACATATGGGAGCCCAAGGATCCATTCCCCAGCATGGGAATCTGGGCACTGAGTTGGGAGTAGCCCTGAACCCCACTGAATGTGACCCCTAAAGTAAAAATATGTCTAAGAAACAATAGTTGGGAATGACCACCCTGGACAAGATCTGAGGGTTAAAAGTAGGTAAAGGGATTTCGTTCCATGCAGCTGACTGGGGTTCAATCCCTAGCATCCCATATGGTCCTCCAAGAATTGCCAGGAGTGATCCCTGAGTGCAGAGCCAGGAATAAGCTGGGTGTGGCCGCCAAACAAAAACAGAAAAGAAAATGCTGTCTCCACTATTTTGGACAAATCCCCCTAATTCATAAGTTTAAAGCAAACTCCCCAGTACTGTACATATATTTGTAGACAATGGTTCCAAAGAGGTCACTAAGATCTCAAGAGAAACCTGTGAGGGTGGAAGGGGGTTGCACAGGGCTGTCCAGTTCATCTTTCCGGTCACCTGAAATCTGGCTGGCATGGGGCACAACTAGCCAGGCAGCAGGTAGAGCTCAGGGTAGAGATAAGCAAGATACAAGAGTTCCTCTTCGGGCCCCTCGCCTGCACACAGACCTTCACACAAGCACATCCACAGCATCAAGAACCCACAGGACAAAGACCACTGAGCCCCGGGCAAGGAGAGGTAGACCACAAACTGTCAGCACTGGCCACTGAGGAACACGGCCATCGTGGGACAGAGGCAGGGCAGAAGCTGAAGCTACAGGCAGCCACAAAAGCATAAGGGCTCCAGGGGCAGGGGTGATAGACAGTACAGCGGGCAGGCACTTGCCTTGCATGTGGCCCACCTGGGATTAATCCCCAGCATCCCACATGGTGCCCTGGGCGCAACCCCCCCTCCCAGGGGTAATTCCTGAGTGCAGAGCCAGGAGTGATCCCTGAGCATCACTGGGTGTGGCCCCCAAACCAAAACTGAGGGGCTGGAGCAATAGCATAGCCAGTAGGGTGTTTTCCTTGCACACGGCCGAACCCAGGTTCAATTCCCAGCGTCCCATATATTCCCCCGAGCACCGCCAGGAGTGATTCTTGAGTGCAGAGCCAGGAGTAACACCTGAGCACCACTGGGTGTGACCCAAAAAGCAAAAAACAAAACCAAAAAACCCCACAAAACCCAAAACTGAAATAAGCCATTAATTACCACTAACAGGAAAATGGGAGTTTTATCACATAGTAACGCAGGTGGGAATGCACAGCTATGGGACCCTTCCTTCGAGACCCGACCATCTATTCAGAGACTGGAACCAGAATATGTCTAGAAGGAGGTGGGCAGGAAAGAACCCTCTGTTTCAGGCAGTAAATAAGGGAGAAAATGGAAATAAGGGTTGCTCCCCGCAACTGGACCCTATGTTAAAGACAGAACAGAAACCAACCGGAACTCACATTCCAAACACTCAGGCCCGTGCCAAAACAAAAAGGCAATTGTGCCCGCCAAAACACTGAATTTTCGCCCAAAAGAAAACCTGAACTATCAAGAGCCAATGAGCTAGAAGGGCCAGCTGCATCCTTCCCAGCACCTTAATGCTCATGCCCTCCGCTGCTTCAAAAAAATAAACAAAAGCAAATTCAAATGACGACCCCCAGCCCCCCCACCACCGCCACCTCACCCTGCCTGGTTTGAACTTCGCCTCTTCCTTGGTGGTTAGCAACAGTTTGCAATTGAGACAAAACGTACAAGAAAGAAAGGCTGTGCTTTCTTAGAACTCCCGGGCTGATGAAAACCCTTTCCCAAGGATGGACAGTCTCCTGGACCTCTACACTGCTTTCCAGAGCCCGAGAAAAGAGCCAGGAGGAATGTTTTCCTTTTTCATCAAAAATTAAATCCCCACATGCAAAGGTCCTTTTGTTTCCAAATTCCTTTTCTCCAGGGTCCTGCTGTTTCAAATCTCTGTGGTCTATTAAGTGATAAATCATCTGACAGACTGGAGGGTGGAGGGAGGAGGGCGAGGGTGTTTGCTGTTTCCAGGGCAACATCCCAACACTGACTTTAAAAAAAAAAAAGGATTTGTTGTTGCTAACCCAAACTGGCCTGGGTAAAAAAAGTTCAGTGTGGAGGTAGGAAAAGAGAAACACACACACACACACACACACACACACACACACACACACACCAATCTTTCCAAAGGCCCAGAGGCAGAGTGGAGGGGGAAAGGGCCCTGGGAGTTGGCAGATCAGTCACCCCCAGAGTAAGGCTGTGAGTTCAAGCTTCCTGGGCTTAGGACCCCCATCCCTGAACAGAGGGAAACAGAGACCACACAGAAGTGACTCAAGATAGGCCCTTAATGGAACTGCGCGCTCAGCGGATGGAAGGCCTGACGTCCAATGGGAACCTGCAACAGCAGCAAAGACACAAAGGACTCCCCTCTCTGAGGGCTGGAATGAGGTCAGCACCGCCCCAACCCAACCCCCAATCAGAAGCAACACAACACAGACTTGCGAGGAGCTATGACACACCGTGAACAGAAAGGGGACTCTCTGTGTCCCACGCCAGGCACAGAGCAGGGCTCCCCCTGACAGTGCCACCCATACCCACCTGGAGCCAGGGGTGTCCTAAGGCTTCTTCTGTCGTAAAACGTGCCTTGGGGTCCACCACCAACAACTTCTTGACGAGGTCTAGCGCTAAGGCAATAAGATCATTTGGCAAGTCAGACTGAAAAGGATTAAACACATTGAACGGGCACAACTACTACCGGTTGGCCAAAACCACAAGTCAACATCAGAGAGGAGGAGAGAGAGAGAGAGAGGTTGAGCAGGGTCACACTAAGGAGCCTGAGATGGCTCGAAGATAGTCAGGAGGGAGAAGGACATGCCCCAGTTCTTCCTTTGAGAACTTCATTCATAGTCACAACCTCAAGCCCCTTTTCTCTCTCTTACGGCTGCACTCCAGTTCAGACCCATTACAACTGCACTCATGGGGGTGTGAGGAAAACTGGGGACACTGATGGAGGGAAGGGAACACTAGTGTTGGGACGGGTGCTGGAACACTACATGCTGCAAATAACTTCATCATGAATAACTTTGTAAAGCATGGCATCTTAATAAAAATTTACAATAAACTTTAAAAAGAGACATAAAAAAAAAAAAAGACCTGAACTTCAACTCTGCGTCCTGGGTCTCCCTGAGCCCCTCCAGCTGATGGTGAGAATTCCTGGGTCAGCACAAGGCTCCTAGGAAAGCAGGCCTGGCAGGAATCAACCTTGACAGCCCGCAGTTAAGTGGGTGCCTGAGTATTGCAACAATATTATTCCTTAGACTGGCCGACACTGGAACACAACGGTCTATGCTGGCACTACTACAACACATAGAGAGAAAGTCTCTAAAATCTTTTAAGAATTACAAAGTTGCGCTTTGAATTTCCCACCACAAGTCACTAATTATTTTCAGCCCTAGGGCGCTTGCTTACTCAAGGGAAACTTGGAACTCCTGATTTTGCACACTTGAACAGGGACTAGGCATTTTCATTACACTAAATGTTCACCAAAAAAAAAAAAATACTTTAAGTCAGTTCCATTGTGACCCCTTTACGAAATAAAGGAAGAGGGTCGGAGAGACTGGACAGCGGGTGAGGCACACAGGTGACTGGGGTAGGAGTGTGCGTCCTAGGTTTGAATGCAGAGCCAGGAGTAAGTCCTGAGAACTGCTGGAAATGACCCAAGAAGGGAGGAAGGGAAGGAGGGAGGAAAGGGAAAGAGGAACGAAGGAAGGGAGGGAGGGAGGAAGGGAGAGATAAAAGGAGGGAGGGAAGGAGATTTAGAGACATAAGTAACTTGTCTGTGATCAGAGAGCCAGGACTTCTGCCCGCCTGGATGGATGGAGTCAGAGACCGCATGAGATCAGCCGCCTCTCACCCGGTATGAAACTGACAGAATGAAACTGGCAGAGAAACAAGAGCGGAGTCGACAGGTGCAAACAATCACAAGCTCAGCAAAGTCCCGCCGCCACGCCCACACGTTAGCAGCCCAGGGCTGGTCCCCCTTCCGTATCCATACCCTTCTCTGAGACCTCTGCCCAGACTTCGGGAATGAAGTTGTATTTTCCACTGGTGATCTGATCCTTCAGAGACACTTGAGTCTTATACTCAGAGAAAGGTGGATACCCACTAAGGCTTAATATTGGCAAAGAGAGAAAGGAAAAGAAATCAAGTGGCATTCTCGGTGGCATTTGGATACACAGATTTTGTTGTTAGCACTACTGTTTCATTTTGTCTCCAAACATGACCTAAATTAAACACAAGCTCTCAACCTGCACACATTTCTGATTGCATGCAATTATCTCCAACCAGACGCCAAGGCAATAAAAATCTCTTCTTACCAAATGAAAAGAATAACGCCTAAACTCCAGCAGTCCACGGCGCGGTTATATCCAGCAGTTCCCAAGGACATGAGAACCTCTGGGGCCAAGTACGTCGGGGTACCACATAAGGTTCTCATGAGAGAGGTCTCCCCCAAGATTTTGGACTGCCCAAAATCGGTAATCTAAAATTAAGGACATAAGGGAGTAATTTTTTAACGAGGTCAGAAAACAAAAAGTTCAGCATGGCCTGTAAGTCCCCAGAGTCCCGCAAGCTAGATCAGGTTCATTTGGTTTATTTTTTTTTTTGGGGGGGGGGCTCACTCATCTGTGCTCAGAACTAACTCGAGACATTACTCCTGACAGGGTTCAGGGGACCCTGAGGGGTGCTGGGGATTGAGGGGTGCCTGGGTCAGCTCTTAAAAGACAAGCACCATACCCACTGCACAGTCTCACCAGCCCTAGTTCAGGTTCAATCCTATAGCTCCTGCCTGGTCTTAATTTGGAATCTGCAAATTTATGTTCAAGTTAAAGAGTTTTTTTTTTAACACTTTGCAAGCTATATCATTAAAATTTTACACTTTGCAAGCTATTTCATTAAAATCCAGGGGCTGGAGAGATCATACAGCAGGCAGGGTGCTTGCCTTGCACACAGCCAACCTGGGTTCGATCCCTGGCACTCCATATGGTCCCCTGAGCCCCAGTAGGAGTGATCCATGAGCATAGTCAGGAGTAAGCCCTAAGGCACAGCCAGGTGTGGTCAAGAAAACAAACACTGTCCTCCCGTTGTTCATCGATTTGCTCAAGCTGGCCGAGTAACATCTTCTTTTTTTTTTTTTTGAGACTTGCTGTTACTGTGTTTGGCATATTGAATATGTCACGGGTAGCTTGCCAGGCTTTGCCGTGTCGGCGAGATACTCTTGGTAGCTTGCTGGGCTCTCCGAGTGATGGAGGAATCGAACCCGGCTGGGCCAGGCTGGCTGCACGCAAGGCAAATGCCCTACCGCTGTGCTATTATTGCAGCCAAGAAAACCAAAATAATAATAATAATAATAATAATAATAATAACAATAATTAAATAGATAAGATTCTAGAGCCAAAGTATCCAGACCTATGTTTTTCAAGTTACCTATGATTTGTACATTTATAAAAAGTTCCCCAAAAGGTGATAACACACATCTTGGCACAGACCAGACAGTCTAGAATTTTACGGAGCATCCTGGTTTCTCACAGACCCCAGGTTTGTGCATGTGGCCGCACACAGGACAAATGGAAAAAGATACTTATAACCAGGCACACCCAGAAATTCTGAGGTGGGCTGCATCTTCTTTTATTGCTTGGGGACTATACCCAGAGATGCACAGGGCTTTTTCCTAGCTCTGTGCTCAGGACCACTCCTGTCAGTGCTCAGGGGACCTTACATAGTGCCAGGGTAGAACCTGGGTCAACTGTGTGCAAGGCACGTGCCTCACCCACTGTCATCTCTAGCCCATAGGGTTGTTCCTTGGCAGCAGAGGTCACGTGTCCCATGCCCGGGGTCCCTCAAGTTGATGCCCAGCACCTCACAATGACAAAATGAAACCCCGAAATTCTGAGGAGCTACCTGGGTTGGGTGTCGTAACTATTTTACTCCTCAGAAGGAGATGAAGAAATTGAAAAGTGAAGCCAACTTTGGGAAGTGCCTTCTGACATGAAAGGGAAGGAGATGACAGGCTATCCAATTCTCCCGGCTACCCGGACCCCTCTTCAATCCCTCTAAATAACAAGCAAAAAAAAAAGCAGTTTATAGTAGGACTCAATGCTCTTAGAGGATTAATGCTCTTAGGAATGAAACAATATCAATTAATCTCTAAAATATTTGGGGTTGGTAGGTTTGGGTCACACCTAGTACACCTAGTAGTACTTAGGGTTTAATCCTGGCTCTGTACAGGAACCATATGCGGTGTCACATATCTAACCAGGGTCAGTCACATGCAAAGCATGCACATATGGCCCTAAAATAATTTTTTTTTTTGGCTTTTTGGGTCACACCTGGCGATGCACAGGGGATATTCCTGGCTTGGCACTCAGGAATTACCCCTGGCGGTGCTCAGGGGACCATATGGGATGCGAGAATCGAACCCAGGTTGGCCGCGTGCAAGGCAAACACCCTACCCACTGTGCTATTGCTCCAGCCCCTAAAATAATTTTTAGAATAACACTTTACAAGTGAGGCCGGTGGGATCAGAACAACAGTACAGCAAGAAGGACATCTGCCTTGCATGCAGTCAATCTAGATGCAATCCCCGCCATCCCATATGGTCCCCCAAGCTCGACCAGGAGTGACCAATCCTGAGCCCTGAGCACAGAGTCAGGGGTAAGTCTGAGAACTGCTGGGTCTTACAGTCCCCACCCTCAAAAAAAAAAAATTCTTTTTTTTTTTTTTCTTTTCGGATCATACCCAGCGATGGGGAAGGATTACTCCTGGCAGTTCTCGGGGGACTGACCATATGGGATTCTGGGAATCGAACCAGGGTCGATCACGTGCAGGGCAAATGTCCTACCCGCTGCACTATCGCTCAAGCCCTGAAAAAAGAATGCTTGATGAATTCTTGAGCCAAGTGATAAAACTGCTAATCCCAGTTCAATCCCCAGCACCACGTTCGGTCCCCCAAGCATCACCACACGTGATCCCTGAGCACAGAGCCAGGAATAAGTCGTGAGCACTGCTAGATATAGCCCCAAACCCTTCTATCTCATCTCCCCCCTCCAAAAAGTTCACTTGTGGAACTCAAGTTTTGCATGCACACAGCTCTGAGATTCATGCCCACACCAAAAAAAGGAAAAAAAAAATTTCAAATTCATAGTTACACTTTTTAACTTGATTTGTTGAAAATCAGTTTCTGAACAGAAATCTGCTTCAGTGGTCACACAGAGACCATTCATTACTTACCTTTATAAGACAGTCCTCTTTTTGAGACGAGAGTAGAACATTCTCTGGCTTTAGGTCCCGATGTATAATGCCATTTTTATGAAGGTACTAGACAAAAAGGATGGCACAACCCTTAGATTTTTGGAGGAATATGTGAAAAAGAAAGAAAGATAGACATCGCCTCTTTCAAGTATGTGAAACTGTATGTAATTTACAATGGTATTCCCAAATGCATAGGAAACTACTGTGTCAATGAGTTAGTGTTTACTAGTTTAAGAAAATCTACTTTTTCTTTTCTTTTCTTTCGGGCCGGAGCCATAGCACAGTGGGTAGGGCGTTTGCTTTGCATGCAGCTGACTCGGGTTCGATTCCTCCACCCCTCTAGGAGAGCCCGGCAAGCTACCGAGAGTATCCTGCCCGCACGGCAAAGCTTGGCAAGCTACCCATGACGTATTCAATATGCCAAAAACAGTAACAAGTCTCAGAATGGAGACATTACTAGTGCCCACTCGAGAAAATCAATGAACAATGGGAGGACAGTGCTACCAGTGCTTTTTTTTTTTTTTTTTTTTTGCTTTTTTGGGTCACACCCGGTGATGCTCAGGGGTTACTTCTGGCTCTGCACTCAGAAATTACTCCTCGCAGTGCTTTGGGGACCATATTGGATGCTGGAGATCGAACCCAGGTCGGCCACTTACAAGGCAAACGCCAAACACCCTACCCACTGTACTATTGCTCCGGCCCCAAAAATCTACTTTTTCTAAAGTAGAAAAAAAAAGCAATTTATAACAGTAGTCCTGTTATTTCACTTCATAATACATACCTCTTCACAACTGCAGAAATAAAAGGTGTCAGTTCAGTAATAAAAATGTCAAATGGGCCAGCAAGATAACAGAGTGGGTAGGGTACTTGCCCTGCATGAGGCTTACCTGAGTTCAATTCCAGGACCCCATATGGGCCCCCAAGACCTGCCAGGAATGATCCTTTAGTGCAGAGCCAGCAGTATGCTCTGAGCATAGCTGGGCATGACCCTGTCACTGTCACTGTCCTTTCGTTATTCATCGATTTGCTTGAGCGGGTCCAGTAACATTGTAAGACTTGTTACTGTGTTTGGCATATCGAATACGTCATGGGGAGCTTGCCAGGCTTTGCCGCGCGGGCGAGATACTCTCAGTAGCTTGCTGGGCTCTCCGAGAGGGGCGGAGGAATCGAACTCAGGTCAGCCATGTTGGCTGCGTGCAAGGCAAACACGCTACCCACTGTGCTATCGCTCCAGCCCGGGCATGACCCAAAAAACAAAAATGCCAAAAAGTAAGTGGTCCAAGCCCCGTTACCCAATAAAAAAAAAATATAAAAGTGATATGAAGATTTTAAGGCAAATATTTGGTGATATAAATATTTTGGGACCATATTTTAAAGAATCTATTAAAATACATACTTGCAAAATTATCTGCTTAAATACTGAGCATAGCCCTCAATTCACAGCACTCTCCCCAAAATATTACTCAAAGATTGACAGTCCTCAAAAACTTTATGCTCGGAGCCAGAGCAGCAGGTATGGCGTTTGCCTTGCATGCAGCCGACCTAGAGTTTGATCTCTGGCATCCCATGTGGTCCCCCTAGCATTGCCAGGAGTAATTCCTGAGTGCACAGCCAGAAATAACCCCTAGCACCGCCGGGTGTGACCCAAAAAGCCAAAACAAAACAAACAAGAGAATCACTTAATCACTTAATCACTTAATCCCCGTTATTCATCGATTTATTCGAGCGGGTGCCAGTAACGTCTCCATTCATCACGGTTGCGTGCTAGCGTAGCCCAATGGTATCTGTTCATTTTAGGAACATGTAGAGCCTCAAACCGATCATTTATTATTTATTATTTATTATCATTTATTATTATATAGATCACTATTCGGGTCTCTCAAAGAGGAATCGAAAGAACTATGCTTGGAATATCACGATTCACTCAAATGAGAGATAGAATCCGGAGTTCTGATCTTCGTCAACGCTCAAGAATCAGAGACGCTGTCTCATTTGCCAAGACATCAAAAATCAGATGGGCTGGACATGTAATGAGGTTTACAGACAACCGCTGGACTAGAGCCATTACTGATTGGATTCCACGAGACATCAAAAGATCACGTGGACGCCCACCTATAAGATGGTCAGACTTCTTCGTCAAACAAGAGAATACATTCTAAAAAAAATAGAAAACTTTATGTTCTAAAATAGTATACAGGGGCTGGAGAGATAGCACAGCGGGTAGGGCGTTTGACTTGCACGCGGCCAACCCGGGTTCAACTCCCAGCATCCCTGAGCACCGCCAGGAGTAACTCCTGAGTGCAGAGCCAGGAGTAACCCCTGTGCATCGCTGGGTGTGACCCAAAAAGAAAAAAATAAATAAATATAAAATAAAATAAAATAGTATACAAAGGGGCCAGAAAGATAATCCAGCAGGCAGGGCTCTTGCTCGATTTCTTGCACCTGGTGGACCTGAATTCAATCCCTGGCACCACTTATGATTCCCCAAGCACCACCAGGAGTAATCCCTGAGCCAGTGCCAGGCTTCCAAAATAAAAATAAAATTTAAAAATCAAGTAAAGGACAGAGAATTAAACGGGCAGGAGCTCATGCATTGCACACTGAAGCCGGGGGTCCCACAGGCAAGGCATGTGCATGAGCCCGTTGGGCTATCCCTCTGGCCCCCCTTTCTTTTTGATTTTGGATCTGGCTTTTGAGCTACACCCAGCAGTGCTTACTCCTGGCTCTACACTCAGGAGTCACTCCTGGCTGTGCTCAGGGACCACATGGGTGCTGGGGATCGAACCCGGTTGGCTGCGTGCAAGACAAGCACCTTTCCCGCTGGGCTATCTCTCCAGCCCCTTCTCTTTGTCTTAAGCTCCACAGCAAGCTTACTCGTTAAGTTTTTTTTCCAACAAACACACACATATGGCTCTACAGGTTACCTCCGTGGACCCTCGGCTTCTGCCTGACTCTGGAAGTAGGTTCTCTCAGAGGCCAGAGCAATAGTACAGCAGGGAGGGGGTGCTTGCCTTGCATGTGGCCAACTGGGGTTCAATCCCCCACGTCCCATGTGGTTCCCCAAGTACCACCAGGAATAATTCCTGAGTACAGAGGCAGGAGTCTGGGGGTCACCAGGTGTGACCCCTCGCCAAATAAACACAAAAGAAGCAGATTCTCTAAAGAAGAGCTTCTTACCTGCACAGCCAGGAGCATCTGGTAGAAATAGAGTTTGCACGTAGCCTCTTTCAGGCGTTTATTCCCTACTACCCTGTCAAACAGCTCTCCTCCTTCCATCCTGAAACACACAGGCAAAGGACGAGGGTTCATTGCTTGTTTGGGGGCATACCCGGCGATGCTCAGGGCTTACTCCAGGTGGTGCTTAGGGGATCCTATGGGATGCCAAGGATCGAACCCAGATTGGCCGTGTGCAAGGCCAAGTGCCCCACCCACACATACTGTTACTGCCACCCCAGCCCCCAAAGAGGGGGGAAGGGCACTTTTCTTCGGGAAAACTCACTTGGATAAAAGACAGGAACACAAATGAAACACATTTACTAAGACAAAGATCTACTTTTTTTCTGTCTGGGGTCTGCAGGATCAAAGCCAGGGCCTTGAAGATGCGAGCCGTACACATCATGGAGCTCCGTACCTGCCAGAGCAGCCAGCATAAATCACTCTTTAGGCCACTTTTATTTTTATTTATTTATTTATTTATTTATAGAATGATCACTGTCACTGTCCTCCCATTGTTCATCAATTTGCTCGAGCGGACTCAGTAACATTGTGAGACTTGTTACTGTTTTTGGCATATTGAATACCTTGGCTTTGCCACTTTGTCGAGCAGGCGAGATACTCTTGGTGCCATGCTCTCCGAGAGGGGCAAAGGAATTGAACTCGGGTTGGCCATGTTGGCTGCGTGCAAGGCAAATGCCCTACCTGCTGTGCTATTGCTCCAGCCCTGGCAAGCTACTGAGATATCTTGCCCGCACGGAAAAGCCTGGCAAACTACACAATATGCCAAACACAGTAACAACAAGTCTCAAAATGGAGACATTACTGGGCCCGCTGGAGCAAATCGATGAACAACGGGAGGACAGTGACAGTGACATTTATTTATGTTTTGTTTTTGGGTCACTCCCAGTGATGCTCAGGAGTTATTCCTGGCTCTGCACTCAGGAATTATTCCTGGCAATGCTTGGGGGACCAAGTAGGATGCTAGGAATCCAACCCAGGTCAGCCGCGTGCAAGGGGAACACCCTACCTGCTGTGCTATTGCTCCAGCCCCTGCTGCCACTTTTAAAGGCAATGAAACATTAAGCTTCTCCCACAGTGAAGATGTTCCCACTGGAAACTGCCAAGCCAAAAGGAAGGAGTGTGCCTGGCACAGGGCTGACCCCAGCACCTCATGTGGTCCCCTTACTCCCAAAGGCAGGAGAAAGCACTGAGCACCGCTGGGTGTGGCCCCAAAACTAAAAAGAAGCCCCACCCCACCCAAAGAAAAGAACCAAAGAAACCCACATAATTCATAGGTAGAAAACAGAGACTTAGGGGGCTGGAGAGATAGCTCAGCGGGTAGGGCGTTTGCCTTGCACGCAGCCAATCCGGATTCGATTCCCAGCATCCCATATGGTCCCCTGAGCACCGCCAGAGGTAATTCCTGAGTGCAGAGCCAGGAGTAATCCCTGTGCATCGCCGGGTATGACCCAAAAAAGGCAAAAAAAAAAAAGGAAAACAGAGACCTAGAATTTTCATTTTTGCAATGCTTCCCTCCCCCGCCAGGATTCTGAGACTGGTATTGAGTAGTAGGGTCTGAATTCCACCTCTATCAGGTCGCTGGGTTGGCTTTTTCTTTCCTTTTTTTTGGGGTGGGGGAAGGGGTTGGTTTTCAGGCCACACTGGTGATACGCAGAACTTAGTCCTTGCTCTGTGCTCAGGATCACTCCTGGCAGGGTTCAGAGGCCCGTGTGAAGTGCAGAGGATGGAACCAGGTTGGCTGCAGCAAGGTTGCTTCACGACCTGCTAACTATTGCTCTGAGCCTGCAGTAGGGCATCCCGCAAGGTACTGAACCCCTTTGAGCTTGTTTCAGCCTCATAAATATGGCTGTTGTCAGGCCAGAAGGTACAGAAGGAAAAGCACTTGCCCTGCAAGGGGCCGACCTGAGTTCGATCCCCGGCATCCCATATTGTCCCTTGAGCACCAGAAGGAGTAATTCCTGAGTGCAGAGCCAGGAGTAACCCCTGAGCATCGCTGGGTATGACCCAAAAACTCCAACACGCCCTCCCACCCTCCATGCAAATGGCTGTTGTAAAATGTTAAGGGTATTTAATCCACACTAGCCACAGTTACTGTACTACTGTTATTACTATTAAACGGTTAACTACATTCAGTCAGGTTCCGGTTTCTCCTCTCACAGCAACAGGCAGATCCTCTAGCAAACCAGGAAACATCCAGCCTCCTGGGAGCTATGACCGAGCTCTTTATTTCCTACACAAGAGGTACACAATCCAGGGTGCGAGGGCTACTGGGATCATTGGTGGTGGAGAATGGGCACTGGTGGAGGGATGGGTACTCGATCATTATATAACTGAAACCCAAGCACGAAAGTTTGTAAGTCTACAACTGTACCTCGTGGTGTTTCACTAATAATTAACTAATTAATTTTTAAAAAAAAAGAGGTACTCAACCCAACAGGCATAAAGTACCATTCCAGAGCAAGCATCACCTGTCTGCCTTAACAGCCATTCCAACAACAGCCGGACTCACTCAGGAACAATTGCTCAGGTCTTTGTCACAACAAATAAAACAGGACTTCTCCTTTTCGTTTCTTTTCCCCCACCCCATTTTTTGGGTCATACCTGACTGTGTTCAGAGGTTGCTCGTGGCAGGGCTCATGGAACCATATGCAGTGCTAGGGATCAAAACTGAGTCAGCCATGCGCAAGGCAAGCACCTTACTTCCTGTAATATCTCCCCAGCCTAAACACAGGCCTGTTTGTTTTTTTTTAAATGAGCTTTAATGGGGGCTGCAGGGATAGTACAATGTGTTGGGCATTTGCCTTGCACGCGGCCAACCCGTATTCAATCCCCAGCATCCCATATGGTGCCCTAGGCACTGCCAGGAGAAACCCTTGAGCATAGCTGGGTGTGACCCAAAAAGAAAAAAAAAAGAGCTTTTTAAGTTTTTTTTTCTTAATATATTGATTTGGTTTTGGAGGGGTCACTCCCAACAGTGCTGGGGGACCATGTGCTAAGAGAATGGAACCCGGGTTATTTAAAAAAAAAAAAAACTGTGTGCTCCAGCCCTTGGGGCCGCCTCCCCCTGCAAGGCTGGACTCTCCGGCTGTTGTGTACTGATGTCAGCGCGGCTTGGTCTCGTGTTGTGGCGAGGTGGACGAGGCCCCCAGCTGCCCTGGTGAGCTTCTACACATGTGGGGGTTCTGCCGGGGACAGGCTGGCCACTCCTTGCATCACTTTCTCTGTACATTGGGGCTTTGTGATCCCCATTCAGAAAAGTGATAGCAGGAGTAAGTTAATCTGCAGGCAGTCGGCAGAAGAGAGAGAAGACACGCTGGCCTCTCTGTGCCCATGTTTCTCTTCCTTTGTCCAACCGCTGCTCCTTCAACCTTTGTTACCTTCCCTGTGGCCTCTCCTGTCCTACAAGTTGTTCCCAGCAACGGCCAGCCACGGCCCCCACTTACATGCTATTCACCTGTGGTCCCTCGGATTAGTCCAGAGCCCAGCGAGAGTCGAGAACCTGCTCTAAGCTACCAGACTTTGGTAATATGGGGAAGTTTCTAGGATTGATACGAGCCACCCCCATATATTCTCTGAGCCCCACTAATATATAGATGCAGAATCCTCCAGGATGAGACACGTGCGCCAGCCTGGGTCCCTCTCCCGGCTGGTGAGCATTTAAATGGAAGCAACAACAAAAAATGAACTACTTACAATTCTAAAACAATGTAATAATCTTCAGCTTCAAAAAAGTCTTTAATCTTGATGATACAAGGCTGGAAAGGGGAGAAGACAGAAGAAAACGTAGTGAGACTTTTCAGGAGGCCTGACCCGAGAGCAGACAGAGGAGAATCCGCGAGGTCCACAAGAGGGAAAGAAAGAGTTGGAGAGTGAGTGGGTGCTCGAAGGAGGCAGGTAGGAGGGGCACTTCCAAGCCACCTCTCCAAGCAGAAGGAACCTGGGGGCCACTCCATATACTGGATCAAGGACGGGGACGGGGAGGGAGCTAACCATGCTGCCAAAGGGCTATGCAGCTTCAGACAAATGCAACGGGGACGCCTGTGGCAAGGCGCAACCACTGATCAAGGAAGCGCAAGGGAAGTTCTTCCAATCTTAGAAGAATTTGACAGCACTGTTGTTCAACCTTTTCACACCTGTACACTGGCCAACTGCCAAGAAATATCCCCAAGGACTTTTTTGGAGGGGGGCGAGGCGGGAGGGGGACACTTTTTTTGAACCGCATGTGGCAGTGCTCATGTGGCTTACTCCTGCCTCCCTGCTCGGGGATAACTCCTGGTGGGCTCTGGGGGACCCTATGGAGGGCCAGGGTTCAAACCCAGGTTGGTTGCAGGTGAGGGACGTGCCCTGCCTGCTGTAGTAGAGTTCCCGCCTCCAGCTCTCTTCTTTAGGGTCTAGAATTCATCTTCACATCTTAACTTCAGTGAATGCAAGACAGGCGAGACTGTCCCCTTTGGAGATGCCGACACCAGTGAAAGTTTTTTAAGGATTAAAGGTAGAGAGTTAAAGCAACTCCACCCCAGAAAGAGGGCTTCTCTCTCTCACAAAAGATCCCAGATCCTGGGCTGGAGGATAACACAGCAGGTTGGGCATTTGCCTTGCATGCAAGGGTGCGATTCCTAGCATCCCACATGGTCCCCCGAGCACTACCAGGAGTAATTCCTGAGTGCGGAGCCAGGAGTAACCCCTATGCATCACTGGGTATGACCCAAAAAAAGAAAAGAAAAAAAAAGATCCCAGATCCTTTGGGGGAAATGAGTCAAATGTAGGGGAGAGAATGAAACCCCAAAAGAATAGAGACCAGGCAGGAAACTGGCCACTCAGACTCTCCTGGCTTGCAGCTCTTCCCACGAGTGAGTTCTACAGAAACCTGTGACATTATTGTGTTGATGGCTTTGATTTTGGCAGTTCTGAGTTTGTTTGGGTGAAAGAAGGAAGAAATCTTTTGGTTATTTGGCTGGTCAGAACCAGAGTATGATCCTCCTTTGCTGGGCAGACTGGAGCTCCCCAAGTTTAACTCCAAGTACCTACCGAGTTCCTGATTTCATAAGGCTGCATGAGATCATGAAGAAATGGGAGGGACAGTAACAAGCTCAGTACCACAATTCTAAGTTTCATCTTCCCGCTCCTAAAGTCCCTGATGGCAATTAATCAGATTTATGGCCAGGATTTGCTCTAACTATCAGATAACATCGAAAGGTATTTAGAGTTATTAGAACTGCAGGGAGAGGCCAGCGAGATAGCTCAAAGGAATAGAGCACTTGCTTTTTTTGTTTTTTGTTTTGTTTTGTTTTCAGGTAACCACCTGGCGGTGCTCAGTTTCTCCTGGCTCTGCGCTCACTCCTGGGTAGGGCTCAGGGCCATATGTGGTGCTGGGGATCGAACGCAAGGAAGCTGCATGCAAGGCCAGTGCCCTATCTGCTGAACGATCACTCTGGCCCTGGAGCACAGGCTTTGCATGCAGTTTGATTCTTGGTACTAAGTGGTACCCAGAGAACTGAGTCAGGAATATTCCCCTTGGGTGGGTGGGCCAAACCCATCTTCCACATAAAAAGTTCCAAAACTTGGGGCTGGAGCAATAGCACAGTGGGAAGGGCGTTTTCCTTGCACAAGGCCATCCCAGGTTCGATTCCCAGCATCCCATATGGTCCCCTGAGCACCGCCAGGAGTAATTCCTGAGTGCAGAGCCAGGAGTAACCCCTGAGCATCGCCAGGTGTGACCCAAAAAGGAAAAAAACAAACAAAACAAAACAAAAAAAGTTCCCAAACCTGCAGATTTAATTAAGCCCACTTTACAAAATTAGCATCTTCGTCTAAAATACAATATGTCAACTGTTTTATGTGATATATATCTTAAGAAGCGTACCTTCTTATGAGAGAAAAGAAATTGATTGATCAATCAATTGCAGATGTGTGCACATGTATGTTTGGTGTTTTAGTCAGTTCATTGTCTGTCTGTCTGTCTGTTTTGTCTGCCTGTCTGTCTATCTGTCTCTGTGAAACACTCGAGTGTTGGAACCAGGCTGAAATCAGAAGTAGAAATTTTAGAGAAGTTAGTGATATGCAACCCAGTGATTTAAGAAATGCAGTTGTTTTTGGAACCTGTTAGACAAGGGTTAATCCTTATCAGAAGGTTGAGCCTATAGAGAAAGCAGAATTCTCAATCTAAATTTCTTGGTAGAATAACATTAATGATTATGTGATTAACAGTTGAAATCCTTTTGATCTTAAGAATCTTGTAGTATCTAGAAGAGCTATGGAACTAGAGCCTGAAGCTAAAGTGAAATAAGAGTTCAGAGAAAGCAAGACCTTATCTTACAAGCCTCAGCTAACTTTAATGAAAAACTAGGCCGCTTTTACAAACTACATAGGTACAAAAGACATTAAGTTTCCTTATTTTCCTAAACAGTGGCAATTTATAGGATAACAATTGGATTTGTCCATTCTCCCATGAAGAAGCCCATATCCCAGTGCCCCTTGGTTACTATCCCCATGCCTGTTTCCGAGGCTAATGTTCCTCATTTATACCCAGTTCTTAAGGACAATCCCACAGATCCACCCTTTGCTCCCCACCATGACTTCCCTTCTGTCCTATCCCCAGAGATGAGGCAGACCTCCAGCAGGAGGCTGCCCGATATCTAGAGTGCAAATGGCCCCCACACCTCCCTACCTTTTCTTCCTGACCTCCCCCTTACAACCCTAAAATGTATTTGCAAGAGAAAATTGACCTCTCTTTGGCTGCAGAATTCCAGAGTTATGCACTGCTAATTAGTAACTTGATCTGGAAAACCTGGCGCCAGGAGAAGACTTGGAAGAACTGAAACCTCAAAAGTGAAAATCACGTACACGCCCTTTGGGCAAATTCAGAAATCTCTGTGTGACTGGTGAGTGTGGTGCGCACCCGTGTAAGTGGAGGACCGGTCCGAGCAAGTGTAGGAGTGTGATCTGTGCGTGTGTTCCTAGTGTGTGTATTTTCTTAATATCTTTCTCCTAGTTCTGTTAATTAAGATTGTTTAACATGGGTCAGAATCGAACGACCCCCAAAGCTTTAATTCTTAATCACTTCTCTGAGATCCACAGGAAAGTTCAGGATCTGGGCTTGAGGGTCAAGAAAGTTTGGCATTTATTGTTCATCAGAATGACCTTCTTTTGATGTGGATTGGCCCCCACAAGATTCCTTCTCAACAAACCATGTGGCTCCAGTAAAAGAGGTAACCTGTAGAAAATCTGCTGTGAAGGTATACTCCCCTGGAAATCTCTAGGGGGCATGGGGAAGGAATGTGATAACCTCTGTGTGAATGGTCTCTGCAAAAGAGGCACCCCTTCTTTGCCTGTTTTGTGTCACCCTCCACTAGGAGGAAGCCCACTAGTGAGAAAGACTCTGGGAAACTAAGGCAGGCCAATTTCCAGGCATAAGATCCTTTTCCCCACCCAGGTCTAACTAGAAGATAGAGGTCAATTGAAATGTTAATGAAGACAGTTCAAAAAAAAAAAAAAAGGGGGGGGGTAAAAGGCCAAAGTAAAGGCCAATTTACAAGGGCTTAGAATCCCCTTGGAGAGGCCAAAGTGACAGACCTGGAAAAAAAGTTTTGCCAAGGAACCATCCTTTTTTTTTTTATAGATTATTGCTTGCAATTAGAAAAACATCCTAGGAGCCTCCAACTAGGTAGTTTAGATAAAGAGTATCTTGTTGACCTCTGTAACACCTTGTTGCCTGAGTATAGTGGGGAAAGATAGCCAGTAAATGGCAGTTTGCATTACCAGATTATTTTAGAGTCAGATCTTTGCAGGTAAACTAAAGAAATAGGAGTATCAAAGCAGAGGAGGCAGGAAAATGCAACATCTTATGATTAACTGTTTGACATCAGAAACAAAGAAGTGTGTCACTAAGGAGCCAATCCCCATGTCTGATAAGAATCTCCCTGCCTCAGAATTAGCCTTGGCTAAAAAACGGTAACATCTTTGTCATAGTTTATTTTGCCGGCTTATATCAACAAAAGCGCTTTCCTGACCCATTTTTAACAAGCAGGAGACTGGCTGGTCAGGCTGGGAAATGGGGAGCAGTGTTTCTCCGCCCTGGGGACTGTCCCTTCCTTTCTCAGACCATCAGTTTTTCCCTGTCATTTTTGAAGGGTCAGATTGATCAATCAATTGCAGATGTGTGCACATGTATGTTTGGTGTTTTAGTCAGTTCATTGTCTGTCTGTCTGTCTGTTTTGTCTGCCTGTCTGTCTATCTGTCTCTGTGAAACACTCGAGTGTTGGAACCAGGCTGAAATCAGAAGTAGAAATTTTAGAGAAGTTAGTGATATGCAACCCAGTGATTTAAGAAATGCAGTTGTTTTTGGAACCTGTTAGACAAGGGTTAATCCTTATCAGAAGGTTGAGCCTATAGAGAAAGCAGAATTCTCAATCTAAATTTCTTGGTAGAATAACATTAATGATTATGTGATTAACAGTTGAAATCCTTTTGATCTTAAGAATCTTGTAGTATCTAGAAGAGCTATGGAACTAGAGCCTGAAGCTAAAGTGAAATAAGAGTTCAGAGAAAGCAAGACCTTATCTTACAAGCCTCAGCTAACTTTAATGAAAAACTAGGCCGCTTTTACAAACTACATAGGTACAAAAGACATTAAGTTTCCTTATTTTCCTAAACAGTGGCAATTTATAGGATAACAATTGGATTTGTCCATTCTCCCTTGACACAAGGAGCTAAGGTTTATCAGGCTACACCCATCACAGTGCTCCTGAGTTACTTCCATTCCTTTGTTTTTCGTAATCACTTCTATATCTATATGCTCTCCTCCCCAACCAGCTAATCAGCTTTCCCCCTAGTCAGAATCTGTTAATTTGTAAGATCAGATCCTTCTAGGACACTGAACTTGTGTTGTAAATTGTGAGTCATCTGCTAAGTGAGAATCTGTCCTAGAAGAATGTTCTGACTAGTTTGGATGAGGCTAAACATTTTTTCCTTTCAAACAGCCTTAAGTAATAATCTCAGTATACTCCAAGAGGCAGCTTCCCTTATCTCACAGAAACCTTGCTGTTAGAGGCAGCTTCTCTTATCTCACAGAGCAGATCTCAGGTGCTAGCCAGGCCTGATCTTTGGGGTGTAGATGCCAGACTCCAAGCGATGTTGCCTCACCCCACCGATTCCGCCGTGAGCCTGTCTCCGCCTTCACCATCACCACCCTGTTCATCCTTGGCCTTGTGGGCGCCGGCATAGGCATCGCTGCCCTGGCTTCTCAGCACTCTGGTCTAGCCACACTTCGTGCTGCCGTGGATGCCGATTTAGAGTGCCTTGAACAATCCATCTCTCACCTCGAGGATTCTCTGACATCTCTTTCGGAAGTTGCTCTTCAAAACCGCAGAGGACTGGACTTGCATTTTATGAAAGAGGGGGGATTGTGTGCTGCCTTGGGGGAAGAATGTTGCTTTTATGTTAACCACAGTGTAGTGATTAAAAACTCCATGCGAGAATTAAGGGAAGGTTTAGAGCGAGTCTTCTAGCTCTGGGTGGGCCCTGCATTTTTAACTGAATTACCGCTTTTGTTAGACAGCGAATACACTTTGACCTTTTTGCTTAATTGTTGCTTCTAATATGGTGTTATAAGACCGCCCTGGACAGTGGTCAAAAACTACTATCCTGGCTGTGAGAAGTTGTGTTTCTTATCCTTATGCTGTGTTATTGGGGTCTTCAAAAAATTTAGCTATAACTTCCTTTGGTAACAATTCCTATCATGTGTCTTGCATTAATTGCATCTTAACTAATTGTGTCTCTCCGGAACAAAGGAATAATGCAACAGTCTTGTTATTGGTATGGAGGCCATCTTTTGTGATGTTACCAGTACATTTACCCAATATAACTTGGTATGATAATTCAGCTATGCAAGTTCTTGAAGAGTTAACAGCTTTAATTCGACCAAAAAGGTTTATTGCTGCATTGATTTTAGGAATCACAGCATTAATATCTATCATTACCACATTTGCAGTAGCCACAACAGCATTGGTCCAAGAAATTCATACAGCCCATTTTGTGAATAACCTAAACAAAAATATTACGTTTGCTTTATCTGAACAAGTTATTATTGATAAGAAATTAGAAGCAAAATTAAATGTATTGGAAGAAGTAGTGTTAGCCCTTGGTCAGGACGTTAATAATTTAAAAAGAGTAATGGAAACCCGTTGTCACGAACAATTTAAAGCTATTTGCGTTACCCCTTTGCCATACAACACCTCTTTAGATGGGAATAAGGTTAAACATCATCTCATGGGTGTTTGGCAAGACCAATCCATTACACATGATCTTGAAGGAATACAAAGAGATATTGCAGCCATGAGTCAAGCGTATGATAAGACAACGGAATTAAGTGACCTGGCTACTAGCCTGACTGCTGGAATCAAAGCATTAAACCCATTAGATTGGATCCAATATATTCTTATATTTGCCTTATTAGCAGCTGTCATAGGAGTTATTTTGTTCATATTTCCTTGTTGTTTTAGAGGCATGGCACAATCTCTCCAACGGGTTAAAGAAGATCTGTATGCCGAGCGTCTAAAAAATAAAAAGGGAGGAATTGCCACGCCGTCAATGGTGTCGCCCGCGTAGCAACCTGCTAAGGTGACCTGGGCCTGGCCCAGGTCCCGCGGGAAAGGGAGGTTCGCGACCTTTGGGTCTATGCCTCCGGCGCCCCCTTTTTCTTATCCTGCTTTGTGTGCTTCTGTGGCACTTTGGTATGTGGCTCTTCTGCATCCCGGATGGAGTTTATAATGGTTGCCTGCCAATTTTACTTATAAGTTAGGTATTTAGAATTAATAAGTAGAAGCTTTGTAGTTATAGTTTGCTTTTAATCATTGTGAAATCTGTAGGAAACTAAGGAGATGTTAGGTTTGACAAAGGTCAGGAGTCATAAGTGAAACCAAACAATAACAGGAGCCAGAAAAACCGCCAAATATTGTGGCTGAAACAATTAGATCCTTAGCATACAGTACAGCCCTCAATTTCAAGCAAGGGTGCCTAACATAAAAGAAAACAATAAGTTACCGTCTGAGAGAATGAGGGACATTGTGAAACCTCTATCCCCCCATACAAAAACTGATTCAAGCACATACACCCTGGAGTTTATTAACAGAAAAACAAAGTGTTGCAAACCAATATATGGGAAGGTCCGAGACCCTTCCTGGATTGTGATGTGTGGTTAAGACCCTGTCAGATGAAAACAAAAGTTGCTGAAGAAAAACAATGATAAAGAACTCTGTAGAAAGGGGAACCATGGTTAGACATTAAATCCTGTGTAATCACTGTAAAGAATTCATAGGTAAATGTTTTGTCCTAATTTGAAGCAGGAAGTGTATTAAGAAAGTGTTTTTGTCCCTCGATATTTTTTGGAATATGTCACCAATAAGTGACCACGATATGATGTAATGTCCGATTGTATTCTGGCCCTTTGTTCTATGATTTTGCCTTGACTGTATAAAAAAGGAACTCTGTGCTCAGTAAAATCGCAGCAGCACTCAACCTCACTTGTGTTGGTGTCTGTCTGTCATCGCCGAATCTCCTGCTTTCCTGTAAACCTTCTCCCACGTCCCTCAGCCTGGTGGTTCCCGACCGAGCCAGTCTGCGGCAGCGTACCAAATCCTTTGATGAAAAACTAAGCCAATGAAAGGATCATATAATTATTTAAGAAATCTTTACTTTTGGGGAGTTAGAAGACTTCCAAGCAGTGCTCAAGGGACCAAAAAACCAACCAAGCTGGACAATTCAATTCCTGGGCCTACTAATGGAGTACTGTGAGGGTCTGTCATGCCGGGGGTCACCAGGGTCACTGAAACAGTGCTCAGGGACCATGCAGGCCACAGTTGGCTGTTCTGGACAGGGAAGAAAAGTAGGTGATGCCAGGGAGGAAACCTGGAACTTTATGCATGCAAAGTACACGTGCGCCCCCCCCCCCCCAACCATTTCCCTAGTGCCTTAATCATGAAATCTGTATACTGTCCTCTCAATATCCTGGGATAAAGCTCATCAGCTAAATGACAGCTCGGAAGGGACAAGTGCACACATGTGTATGAGCAAGCATGAAACACACTACATGTGCACACACATGTATTAGCAAGCATGAAATACACGCTACATGCACACATGAGTGTTAGCAAGAATGAAACATACACATGCATACTCACATGCTCAAAGAAGCCAAGCGAACACTAGTTTTATGAAACTGCTACTTCCCATATTTCAAGATAAGAGAATGTAAATACTGGTCATATACTTACATGATTCAGTTTTTTCAAAATCTCAATTTCTGTTTCAACATTGAGAGCTGGATCCTTGAGTTAAAAAAGAAGTACTTTAATAGCCCATAGTTAGAAATTACTTATAGTTTATAAATAGTTCATATACTTGTAGTTTTCTAAACTTTGTTGATGAAAGGCTTTTCAAATACTAAATTGAGTTCTACTTATATAGAAAAATCAAAGCCTAAGGTCAACGACTTAAATAATTCACAAAAATGACTTCATCAAATGCTTGGCAAATAGCACAAGCATGAACTAAATTACCAGGCCTGACGCCAAGTTCTGTTTAAAAATAATCATCTCAGATGCCCCTGGAACTGGGTTCTAAAATCATTCCCACTTTCGAGAGTTTACTGAGGCTCAGAGAATGCTGCCTCGTCCCGGTTCCCACAGCCAGAAAAGTTTCTTCTGATACCACAGCTCAACTGCTTAAACTCCATTGTTTCAGGAGCTGCAGAAATGTTTAAATTCACAAAAACGGTAAAATAGGGGCCAGAGAGATGGCTGAAAAGACTGCCTGGTCTCCTGAGCTCCGCCGGGTGTGTCTCTAAAACCAAAATAAACAAAAGCATAGACGAAAAGGTAATTCAGTTAAACTGTATGAAGAACATGTTAAATCAGATTTCTAGCAACACAGCACGCTCGGGTTCTGATTTCTGACATGTTTACTGAGAGTCTGATGAGAGGAAACGTCAGGGAACTGAAATTTCTCCCCATTACAATTCCAAAAGGATGAACTGAGTAACACAATCTCCCGGGCTACACCCTTCACAGGCAAAGAGGAGGTAGGGTTACATATTTATGTAAAATGAACTTCAGCTACGAAAGCCAGATGTTTAATTTTAAGTCTCCCTCTTCCTGTAAGCCGTTAAATTCATTACCAAGTCAGGGTGTACTCTGATGATAAAGAGAGCTAAGAGTTCAACAAGATTGGAAGGGTGAAATTAAGAAATAAAACTTGGCTCCAAGTTTGCCCCCTGTCCCCTGCCAAAATGGGAACCAAATCCACAATCACAGGGGAACAGACCATAACCCAGTGCACACAGAAAGGAAATAACTCTTGCTGTGTGAGAGAGTGGCACTGCCTTTCGTGGGGGGCTGAGGGTGGGGGAGGAGTAGACATTTCAAAACGCTCGGTAGGAAAGCCAGAAACAGTTGGTCACCAAGGAAAATATGATTAGGGGCTATGATTTATGTAAATTTGTTGGGTCATGCATTTGGCCACTTTTCGCATGCAATGAGCATGCTTTATGGAAATACAATAAAATGAATGGGCAGGGCTGGGAGACAGTTTAAAGGTTACGATGTGTGTCTTTCTTTCTGTCTTTTTGATTTTTGGGGGTTTTTTTGTTTGTTTTTTTGTTTTGGGATCACACCAGGCAGTGCTCTGGATTTACTCCTGGCTCTGCACTCAGGAATTACTCCTGGCGGTGCTCAGGGAACCATATGGGTCGGATGTTGGGGATCGAACCCGGGTCAGTCGTGTGCAAGACAAGGGTACTACAGCTGTACTATGCACGTCTAGCCTGTGCATGACCCTGGTTCAATTCCCTGCACCACACAGCTCCCAAAGAATTGCTGGGTGCAGCCTTGGAAACTCCCAAGCCCTGCTGGGGTGGCCCAGATAATCCCTGGCACCCCGGGCCTGAGCAGCACCTACTCCTCGGCTCTCACAATGAACCGCCACCTCCATCAGTTGGCAGTTGCTGTGGGGCCCACAGGCCTCGAAAGCACCAATTTTTTTTTTTATTAGTGAAACACCATGAGGTACAGTTGTAGATTTACAAATTTTTGTGCTTGGGTTTTGATTACACAATGATCAAATACTCATCCCTCCACCAGTGCCCATTTTCCACCACCATGGGTCCCAGTATCCCTCCCACCTTCCATCCCCCCATCCCCCCACCTCTGTGGCAGGGAATTCCCTTTTGTTCTCTCTCTCCTTTTGGGTGTTGTGGTCTGCAAAAGAGACACTGAGTGGCAATCATGTTCCGTCCATAGTCTACTTTCAACATGCATCTCCAATCATGGGAGGATCCTCCCAACACCCTTTATTTGGTGCTCCCTTCTCTATCTGAGCTGCCTTTTCCCCTAGCATGTGTGGCTGGCCTCCAAGCCATGGAGTAAACCTCCTGGTACTAATCTCAGCCACTCTTGGGTGTTTGTCTCCTATTTTGTTACTTTATGTTCCCCAGATGAATGCAATCTTTCTATGTCTGTCACTCTCTTTCTGACTCATTTAGCTTAGCATGATACTTTCCATGTAGTACCACTTGTATGTAAATTTCATGACTTCATCTTTTCTAACAGCTACATAGTACTCCATTGTGTAGATGTACCAAAGTTTCTTTAACCAGTCATCTGTTCTTGGGCACTCAGGTTTTTTCCAGATTCTGGCTATTGGAGCGATAGCACAGCGGGTAGGGCGTTCGCCTTACAAGCGGCCAACATGGCCGACCCGAGTTCGATTCCTCCGCCCCTCTCGGAGAGCCCGGCAAGCTACCGAGAGTATTCGATATGCCAGACACAGTAACAACAAAGTCTCCAATGGAGACGTTACTGGGCCCGCTCGAGCAAATCGACGATCAACGGGAGGGCCTTTACCTTTACCTTTACCTGGCTATTGTAAAGAGTGCTGCAATGAACAAACAAGTGCAGATGTCACTTCAACTATACATTTTTGCCTCTCTGGGACCCTGAAAATTTTTTTAATGAAAAAGAACAGCTACTAAGACTAGAGAGGGCAGGACTCTTGCTTTACATGCTGTCAACCTGGTTCAATCCCTGGCATCCCATATGGTGCCCTGAGCCTACCAGGAGTGATTCCTGAGCACAGAGCTAGGAGTTAATCCCAAGCACTACTAAGGAGTGGCCCCAAATCCCAAAGTTTAAAAACTAAAATAAAAAAGAATAGCTTGTGAAGTGCTATATTGTCCTTTTCCCCTGCTGAAAGCAATTGTTTACTACAATCTCTGTGTAGCTCAATTCTATAGTAAGACAGGGACACTTGGTTTCAAACGTTATTCCTTTTTTTGTTTTGGGCCACACCCAGCGATGCTCAGGGGTTCCTCCTGGCTCTGTACTCAGAATTACTCCTGGCGGTGCTGGGTGACTGTATGGGATGCTGAGAATCGAACCCAGGTCGGCCACGTGCAAGGCAAATGCTCTACCCACTGTACTATCGCACCAGCCCCCATTATTCCTTTTTAAGTATAGTTATAAAAAGCTGCCTCTGCTTAATTGATGTGTCGGCATAAGTTTCCTCTCTTAAAAAAAGAATAGCTATTATATTAAGTTACTTTAAAACAATTTAATTTCTAATTAAGATTCAAAAGTTCAGGGGCCAGGGATGTGACTCAAGTGGCAGAGAACATAGCTGATGTGTCCGGTCCTGGGCATCAGATGGCCCCCACCCCCATCCCAGCACTGCCAGGAGTGGCCCTGGGCCTGGGGCACTGAGCGATGTGCCCCCTACCACACCACTAGGACCCAAAACTAAAAATCTCTAAATGCTACAACATTCATTGGAAATGACGGAAATAATGCACGAGGGCAATGGTTGAATATGATCATCGATGCAATAGAAGCTCAATCATCAGAAACGATATATTAGCGGGAAACTTCACGCATTAATGCTTCTGTGGAAAAGCGGAACAGGAAACTGTATATATGACATGATTTCAACCGTTTAAAAACATGAATCATACGAACAAAGGCTCGAGAGAAAGGAAAAACTGAAAACAGCTGTGTGGTTCCAGGACTGGATTATAAAGGGGTTTTTTTGTTCCCTAATTTTTCCCTTTCATTTATTGTGGAAAGCAATCTTGAAACAAGGTGGAGGGCAGGGAGAAATTTCTTGCTGGGTACATTACTATGTACAACCAAAAGATCTCCAAGTAAGTTTACTAAATCCATCCGGATGCTCAAAAGTATTCAATGTTCTTGGATATACATTTGCATATCTGAGCTGAAAATCTCTGCTGGTCCCCAAAAATCACCACTCTAAAACGATCTGGGGAAGATAAAAGTTTTCAGAACAGCTAAGCAATCCAAAATGCGGTACTGAGGCTGGAGAGATAGCACAGTGGGTAGAGCATTTGCCTTGCACGCAGCCAACCCGGGTTCGATTCCCAACATCCCATATGGTACCCTGAGCACCACCAGGAGTAACTCTTGAGTGCAGAGCTAGGAGTAACCCCTGTGCATCGCCGGGTGTGACCCCAAAAGCAAAAAAATAAAAAAATAAAAATAAAAATAAAATGCGGTACTCACTACTTCTCTCTCAGAGTGAACAGCAAACTTCCTTTTGCTGATGATCTTGATGGCGACTTTCTTACATGTTTTCTTCTGAAAAGCCAGCCTCACCTCTCCACAGGCACCACTAGGAGGGAAAAATAAAGGCAAAGATTGTCAGGACCTTTTCATCATGAGCTGCAACTGAGTCACCCTGACCACAAGGTTTTTCCACTTCTACAGTCGCAATTTTCAAAGAACACATGAAATCTGGTCCAGGTCAAGTGTCAAGGACCTAGAAGGATGAAAACTATAACAACAAAGTCTCACAATAACAATGAGTCAGCTCCAAATTCCATCCCTCTAAATTCGAGCTGAGTAATACAGACTCACAATAAGTTTGACTGTGATAATCCCCAGAAATAAGAGAATCAGTAAGACAGAATGGCTAGGGCCGAAGAAAGTACAGGACTCAGGCGCTTGCCTGGCATGAGGCTGACCCCACTTGGGCCCCAGGCAACGTAGATCCTTCCAAGAGCACCACCTGGACTGAGTCCTGAGCTCAAGCCCTGAGTGTAGCTGGCCGTAGCTCCCAAATACGAAACAAGCAAAATGACAGAATGGCTGAGGATGGCAAAAATGAAACCGAAGGGCTGGAGTCTAGCAGGGAAGGCGCTTGCACACACAGACCTGGGCTGAAGCCCCAGCACCAGAGACGGTGCCCTGAGTCCCCCTACGAGTGATCCTGGTGGGACAGAATAGGGAGCGCATACATCTGCAGTGGAACAAAGCATTAAACTGCGAGGAAGAGGGCTAGAGCTTTAGCACAGCGGCTAGGGCGTTTGCCTTGCACGCGGCCGACCCGGGTTCAATTCCCAGCATCCCGTATGGTCCCCTGAGCACTGCTAGGAATAATTCCTGAGTGCACAAGCCAGGAGTAACCCTCGAGCATCGCCAGGTGTGACCCAAGAAGCAAAAAAAACAACAAAAAAATAAATAAAACCAAAAAACTACGAGGAAGAGGTGATGCTGTGTTATGAAGTGTAGGGTGGTGAAGGTATGTGTGAAACCCTATCAATAACAGGAGAGTAAACCAGAGTGCCAAAACTTTTCTTTGAATCACAGCGCTATACACATTTACAAAGTTGTTCATGATTGGATTTCAGTCATATAATGTTCCAATACCTGCCCCTTCACCAGTGTACTTTTCCTATCAATGGTCCCACTTTTCCCACTCCCATCTCAGGCCTCCCTCCCTCCTTCCCTCCTCCCCCCCCCCCCACTTTTGGACCATTTGGTTAAATCATTTTAAAAAAAAAAGAAAAGGAAAGAAAAAAAAAACAGAAAAGTTATCGCTGAATGCAGAGCTAAGAGTAACCCTGAGCACTGCCAGGTGTGGCCTCCTTAAAAAAAAAAAAAAAAAAAACAAGCAAGCCACCTGAGGGGCAGGGAGACAGCACAGGGGATAGGGCCAATCCCAGTTCAGTGCTGATACTACCCGGACCCCTTTCCCAGCACTGTCCACGGTGGCACCAGTGTTCCCTGGCACCTCAGGGCCGAGCAGGCCTGCAGCTTCAGTACACACACACACACACACACACACAGTATCTGAAACAAGAAACATGTAAATTACTTTCATGGATTCATTTCTTTAATATTCTCTATCTTCTAAGGATAAGCACTTATGTCACAAATTACACCCTAAATAAAACGGTGATACCTGCAAAGTGAAATGAATGCGTTACAAAATTAACCTGTTTGCTGCATGCGTCAAATATTTGCATTTAATTGGCATACTATTATGGTGGAAGAATGTACCCAGAACTCGACTTACGGCTCTCCTCCGAAGGTTGGCCAAGGGAACTCCTATTAGGGTCCCCCTGCCAGTCTCACAGTACCTTAAAACCACTGTGGGTAAGCGGCCTAAGAGCTCCTTCTTACTGCTCATCGGACATAACACACACTTTACCATCATAGTCTGTTTCGTGTTTGTTTTTTGGGTTTGTGGGCAACACCTCGTTGTGATCAGGGTTTACTCCTGTCTCTGCTGCATTCAGGGTTCCATATGGGGTTCTGAGGATCGAGCCCAGGCTGGTTGGCTACATACAAGGCAAGCTCCATAGCCTCTGTACTATCACTCTGCCACCCGCCACCCACCCCCCGATTAAAATCTGTTATTTATTTATTTATTTATTTACAAAGGCGAGCTCAAATCAGGCTCTCCATCCCCCCACCCTTGAGGGGTGGGGGATAGGAGGTTGGGAGGGGGGGTTCACACCCAGCAATGCTCAGGGCTTACTCCGAGCTCTGCACTCAGGAATTATTCTTGGCAGTGGTGGGGCAAACAAATGGGATGCCATGTATCATCCAGGTCGGCTGCATGCAAAGCAAACACTCCACCCGCTGTACTATTGCTTTGGCCCCTGTAATCCGTTAAAGTATACAATTCAGGGGGCCAGAGCAATAGTACAGCAGGTAGGTAGGGCATCTGCCTTGCATGCGGCTAACCCGGGTTCGATCCTCGGTATCCCATATGGTCCCCTGAGCACTGCCAGGGTAATTCCTGAGTGCAGAGCCAGGAGTAACCCCTGTGCATCACCGGGTGTCACCACACACACACACACACACACACACACACTATACAATTCAGCAGCACTAAGTCCTTCCTCAATGACTTGCAACCATCATTCCTACCCAGTTCCAGAACTTTTTCATCCATCCAAAACAAAAACCCATACCTCCGCAGTATCCTGTCCCCAGACCCTGACAATCTAATCTAATCTACTTTCTGTCTCTCTAGATTTGCCGGCTCCGGATATTTCATGGCAGTGGAATCATACGATGACGCCCTGGCTGTGTCTGGCATCCCATTTTGCGTATTATCATGATTCACCTTATACCATGAGTCAGTATTTCATTCCTTTCTCATTCCTAGAGTTCAATAATATTCCACTACAGCACCAGAGAGAGCGCAGGATTTAAGGCACCTGACCCCAGTTTGATCCCCAGTGCCACAAATGGTCCCCCAAGCACCACTAGGAGTGACCCCTAAACAGAGCCAGGAGTAACTCCTAAGTTCAGCCAGGTATCGCCCTCAACCCTACTTCCAGGGCAAGGACAGATCACGTTTTACTAATCCATTCACCTGTTGGTGGACACTGGGACTTTCTACCTTTTGGCTCTAAAGGCTAGATCATTTTGCACACAGTTTTGCTCTTGTACACCTGTTTTCAATTTGGGGGTGTGTCTACCTGGGAGGGAAAATGGGTGGGTGCTGTGAGGACTAACTTTTGAAGAAACCACCCCAAAGTCCCCCACACTGTCTGCACTAGTTCACATTCTCCAGCAGCAGTGAAGGGGTTCCGATTTCTCCACATTCTCGCCACACATAGGCCGTTTCCCTCGGTTTCTTGCATATGCCACCCTTGAGGCTACAAAGCGGGTATCTCATCGTGATTTTGATTTCCATTTCCCTAAAGATGGCTGAGGCATGGGATCTTCTCATGTGGTTTTTGGTCAACTGTCTTCTTTGGAGAACTCTCTATTCAAATCCTTTGCCGATTTTAATTTTTATGATTTCGGCTGCTCTAGTAACGGACAAGATAGCAGATTCGTTTCAGGAGGGACAGAATGACTCAGTATTTGTAAATACGGTGAAATGTTTACCACTTTTGGTTTAGTTAGCATCCACCCATTCTGGTTTTGGTTTGGTTTGGTTTTCTCTTTTGGGGCCCCACCTGCTGCTGCTTTGGGGTTACTTATGGTTCTGCACTCAAGAGTTACTAAGGGCAGTACCCAGAGGACTATATGGGATGCCAGGAATCGAACCTATGTCAGCCGCAAGCAAGGCAAACACCCTGCCCCCTGTACTATGACTTCAGCCCTATATTCACCCATTTTCAGTGGGGTAAAAAGTCTTTTTATGTCTTTGCATTCTATGAGACCATTCTCTATTTCCCTTATTAGATATTTCATTTATAAATACCCTGTCCCTTTCTGTGGAGTATGCCTCACCCTCTGAAAAGTGTCTTGAGTAGGACACTTGCCTTGCATGCGGCCAAATCAGGCTTGAGCCCCAGCACCCAGCATGGTCCCCAGGAACTGCCAGGAGTAATCCCTGAGTACAGAGCCTGGAGTAACCCCTGAGAACTGCCAGTCATTGCCCAAAAATACAAAACAAAATAAATAAGAGCTATCAAAAATAAAATTTATGGAAAAATTCTTCATTTCAGTGATGCTCATTGACTAAACCAATATCAATCATGAACAGGTATACCCTATAAGTACACAGCGAAAAGAGATTATAAAAAAGTAACAACAACAACAAAAAAAAAAGCCTTAAGTGTTATTTCTGTAAGATAAATCATTTTACCTTCCAAGAGTTTTTGACACGATGTACTCATCTCTTAATTCCTGAGGATACACAGACTGATCATCCACAGTCAAATCAAAAAATACAAAAACTAAGGAAAAAGGGAGAGAAATAGGACTTGTTAATTTCATTAAAGCTCCTAAAATTTAGCAAACACATGAATTCTAAGACAATTATTGCATTTACCATCTAACTGTAAAGGGATTGTTTAGCTAACAAATCACATAACTTATAGAAAAGCTATAGTCAAATTTGATTTTTATGGAAAACACAGCATTATTCTCACCATAGTAAAGAAAATCCATAAATAATCCTCCCAGGATGGGAGAAGCATGCTGAAAGTAGGCTATAGACCAAACATGATTGCCACTCAATGCCTCTTTTGCAAACCACAACACCCAAAAGGAGAGAGAGAACAAAAGGGAATGCCCTGCCACAGAGGCAGAGTGGGATGGGGGAATGGGGGGGTAGGAGGGATACTGGGATCCGTGGTGGTGGGAAATGGGCACTGGTGGAGGGATGGGTACTTGATCATTATATAACTGAAACCCAAGCACAGAAATTTATAAGTCTACAACTGTACCTCATGGTGTTTCACTAATAAAATTTTTTTAAAAAATCCATAAATAAATGCTGGACATATTTCTTGATGTCAGAATATTAATCAATTGTCCTCATAATTGTTCTAATCTGTCCAGATTAGAAATCCAGACCAAAAAGCAATTAGTTTGAGACTAGAATTAAAAAAAAAGTGGTTACAAACAAGTAAATAAATATTCCACTAAAAATTAGATCATAGGTCATCATACTACCATTATCTTCTCTTAGCTATTTATAACTTTCCACACCTGGTATTTTATACACCAAACCATTTTGAACCTACTTGTAAATAACACTTAAAATTTTTTTCCCAGGGCTAGAGCAATAGCACAGCGGGTAGGGCATTTGCCTTGCACGGGGCCAACCTGGGTTCAATTCCCAGCATCCCATATGGTCCCCTGAGCACTGCCAGGTGTGACCCCAAAAAGCCTAAATAAATAAATAAATTTTCCCCTCAGGGGCCAGAGCAATCGTACAGCAGGTAGGGTGCTTGCCTTGCATGCAGTCAAACCAGGTTTGATCCCCAGCATACCATATGATATGGTTCCCCAAGCACCACCAAAAATGTCTGAGTACAATCTGGAGTAAGCCCTGAGCATCACTGGGTGTGGTTCCCAAATAACAACAAAATTCCTTTTATTTCTCCATTACTCGAGGAATAGCTCAAAAGAAGAAAAAACAAAAAAAAATCTTCTCGTTTAATAAGCTAATGATGCACATTAGATTGCAGGTCAAGTCTACAGTCTGTTATCACATACTTTGACAAAGTTATCTTTTTGTTTTGGGGGGGGTCACACCTGGCAATGCACAGGGGTTACTCCTGGCTTTGCACTCAGGAATTACTCCTGGCGGTGCTCAGGGGACCATATCGGAAGCTGGGAATCGAACTCAGGTAGGCCGCGTGCAAGGCAAACGCCCTACCCGCTGTGAAATCACTCCAGTCCTGATGAAGTTATCTTTGTAGAAGCAGTACATGTCTAACTTTCAAAGTGGCAAATTTGCATCTCTAGCTTTAAAGACTGAAATTTGGGGGCTAAAGCGATAGCATAGTGGGGAGGGCACTTGTCTATAGTGGGTAGGGTACATGCTGCCCATCTGGATTTGATCCCTGACACCCCATATAGTCCCTGAGCACTGCTAAGAAGGATTCCTGAACACAAGGCCGGAAGTAAGCCCTGAGCACCACTGGATGGCCCAAGAAACAAAAATAACAAACAAAAGACAACACACTATGGGGCTGGAGAGATAGTACAGAGGGTAGGGTGCTTGCTCTGTATGCAGCAAGCAGGGTTCAATCCCCGGCACCCCATATGGTTCCTCAAGCATCACCAGGAGTAACCCCTGGGCACTGCTGTTTAAGCAGCATGACAATCTGGGGCTTTAAGAGATTCTTAAATGCCCCCAAATGTCAAGGTCAGCTTCAGGGGTTGCAAATTCATTGCCCACACATTCCAGGAAGGTGACACCTTACCACAGGCAAGGCTGGGGTGAGGAGTGTTAAGACAATGTGTGTAAGACAATGTGGAGCAGAAAACACATCTGTTGTGTGAATATTCTTTTGGTCAGGTGCTGAGACTCAGAGAAATTGGAAATCAAGGACAATCATGAGCCCACTACAAGGCCCTGTACCGAAGGAAGAGTGTCCCTCTTTTTATTTACTATCCCATGGCTCCACCCCTCTCAGAGAACTGGCAAGCTACCAAGAGTATCTCACCTGCAGAGCAAAGCCTGGCAAGCTACCCGTGACGTATTCAATATGCCAAACACAGTAACAACAACGTCTCATGATGGAGATGTTACTGGGCCCATTGAAAAGTCAATGAACAGCGGGAGGACAGTGACATCCTATAGTATACACCTCTAATGGGCTCATGACAGTGAAGTCATGAATCATAGAAAATAGGAGTTACATTGAGACATCAAGGCATACACTGTTCTGTCATGCCTGCAAGCCAAATGGTTACAACCATTTGAATATATGAATAGAAGAATGCAAGGTCAAGCCAAGGTCAAGTATTCTGGAGTCATCCTCACCTGGGGTGAAAAGGGGAATGTGAGAATGTCTGCATTTCAAAGCCAAGCTGCTTCTGGGATCTGTGAGAAAGGCTAGACTGCTTCTTTGTTATACTAAGTTAGGTGAAGGCTAACTAAAGACAGTTAAAGAAAGAGATGTTAACCCTTTCCAGACCAGTCAGACACACCCATTTTCAGAATCTCTCGCCCATTTTCATGGGGTCTACGTCTACCCCATTTCCCCATTTTCATGGTCTACGGGTCCTGCCCCTTTGCGGGTTAGTCTCCACAGACTCATCCTAACAATCTGTTTGGGCACCAACAACATCACCCCATCTAAAAGGAGTCTGTCACTTCAAATCCTCCAATTATGGTATCACAGTTTCAGTACGGGAAGATACCCAACTTTTCAAGATAGGCTAGATTTTCATGATAAAGTACAAATATAAGCAAACGTCTAGCAAAATGTCAGCAAGTATGTGGAAATAGAGAAAGAGTACAGAGGTGATGGCACCTGCCTTGCGTGCAGTCAACCTAAGGTCCCCTGAGCTCCCGCAGGAATGAACCCTGAGCACAGAGCCAGGAACACAGTTCTCAGCAGAGCTGGGTGTGGGCCCTTTCCACACCTCCCCAATCAACATGCTGAACGCAGCCTGTGGAGTCCAATGTGATTTATTTCAATCAGGGCCTTGTTTAGTCTACGTGATGCCTGCCCAAAATTAGAAGCGGTGGGCCTGGGAGAGAACTCAAAAAGCTGGTGTGCCCTGCACACGCTATGTATGCCAAAGGCCGGCACTGCATGGTACCCAGAGTACAGTCTGGACTAACACCTGAGCACTGATAGGTGTGTCCCAGAAACCAAAGGAGGGGAAAAAAATTACAAGAGATGCCCCTTGGACGGAACGATTAGAAAAAGACAGTTGAACATGTGAAAGGCAGGCCAATTCCAGGGCTTTGTTGCCCCTTCAAATACGTGCTCATCAACATGTAGGAAAACTATCTGGTTACCCTATCATTATCAATGGGGGAAGAAATACTAGGAACGGGGCCAGGGAAGTAACTCCAAGGGCTGGAACACTGGGTTTTTGCTTGCAGAAACTGCCCAAATTTGATTCAAGACACTGAAGAGTTTCCTGAGGATCAGAGGGAGAGAACCTCACCCAGTCCAGCCTGAAGCAAGCCAGGAAAGCTCTCACGCACTTACAGAGGAGGCCCCAAAACACACCGAAAGTTGAGTCACTCTTAAAACATGCAGTTTCTGGGTGTCAGCCTGAAGACTGACTACAGGAGAATTTCCTGGGCAGGAATGTCTGTTTTCTGTGTTTGTTTGTCTTGCAGCCACACCCCAAGGAGATCAGGGCTTACTCCTGGCTCTGTGCTCAGGGATCACTCTGGCGGGGGTCAGAGGACCATACAGGGTGCTGAGGATCGAACCAGCATCAGCAAGTGTAACTATACTACCCTCTCAGGCCCCTGGGCAGGAAATTTAAATTCCTGGAATGGAACTACTGGACCAGCATCTCCAGAAGAGTGCCTATGGGAACCTCTATTTTTAAGAGGTCACCCCCCAATCACTGAACCTTCTTAGATGGTTTGGAGAATCTTGCGGGTTTCTGGTTGTTTGTTCATTTATTTGGGGGGGAGGGTCACGCCCAGCGATGCTCAGGAGTTACTGCTTGCTCTGCACTCAGGAATTACTCTTGGTGCTTAGGGTGATGTAGGCAGGTAGACAGGGAAAGGCCCTTGGTAATGAAATTTAGATAACAAAATTTTGGGAAGGAAACAAGACCTGATAAGCCCTTCAGCAGACCCCGAAGAAATTTGATCCTTCACCGGGGAGCCATCAGACACACCTGCATCCTTTAATCCACTTTTGGTGAATCAGCCCAGAGAAGATTCCAGAGCTTCCGGACCAAGATGACCCCAAGAGCCTATAAAACCCCACTCAAAAGCCCATTCAAGGCTCTCTCCGTTTCTGGAGAAGACTGCGCTCCCTCGGAGCGCGTTACTCTCTTACTCTTCATTTCCCCACTTATCTGCTTACCCCTCTCTCTTCCTCTCCCAAAACCTCCAAATAAAATCTGTTACTTCACTGCTTGTCTACTCCTGGAATTCCTTTTCTGCGAGCGAGACAAGAGCCCTAGAAACCCCGGGTAAGGCTTGGGACTGGCCTCTCCTTTCCTGCAAAGAGCAAATTCTCGCCCCAGCTTGAGTCCGTGGCTCCCCGAGCAATCGGGTGGCGGGGATTAACTCCCGTGCCGAGAAGACCAAGAGGACTTCAGGTGTGGCTTGACGGCCACCTTGTGGGGCTGACGGGGCTTAGGCCCGTGCCGAGCAGGGGCTCACTGCAGACTTTACCGGTCCTAGCCTACCCAGGGATTCTTGGGTGGCAGAGGCGGAGTGAGAGAGAGTGATCGTCTCTCTCCTCCCAACTCGTGTGAGCCACCCGTGGGGTCCACCGACATCAAGGGGACCATATGGGATGCTGGGGACAGAAGCTGGGTCATCCACGTGCAAGGCAAATGTCCTAATCACTGTACTGTCTGTCACTCTGTCCTCTGTGTGTGTGTTTTTTTTAATAAAAGAAACAAGGATTCTTTCTGTGCAACTAACGTTACAGGTGTGCGATACTAGTCAATGGGCTGGTGTACAAGGAGGCCTGGTTTCAATCCTGACATCACAAGGTCCTCAAGCTCTGCAGGGAGCAACCCGGAAGCATGGAGCCAGAAAGAACCCTCGGTACCACCAGCAGCAAAAGCAAATTAAAAAATCTCAACTCCAAGATATAGAAGACAGTAATGACTAAAGAAAAAAAAAAAGTACAATGAACTATGAACTTTCTCATCTACAAAATTGGAATGCTACTTGTACATTATGTATTCCATATTTACCACGGAAAACTGACTCGGGAATTACAAGTAAGTATAGTGGGCAGCGACTCACACAATATGAGGACAAATAGGGACCAGAGTGATAGCACAGCGGGGAGGGCATTTGCCTTGCATGTGGCTGACTGGGGTTCGATCCCCGGCATCCCATGTGGTCCCCCAGCACTGCCAGGAGTGATTCCTGAGTGCAGAGCCAGGAGAAACCCCTGAGCATCGCTGGGTGTGAGCCAAAAAGTAAAAATAAATAAATAAAGAGCACAAATATAATTCACCTGACAGCCGCTAGCTTTTAACACTCCTTGGAAAAAATCTGTCTTGCCGAAAGTCATTCATAACTAAAAACCGCAACCTAGGACTGAGCCGAAACTTAAATGCTAACCAGCTCACAAGACTCCCTACAGCAACAATGTGAATTTCCTTTTTTTTTTTTTGTATATACCTGCTCAGGCAAAGCCTGGCAAGCTCCCTGTGCCATATTAGATATACCAAACACAGCAACAAGTTTCACAATGGAGACATTACTGAGCCACTGGAGCAAATCGATGAACAATGGGAGGACAGTGCAACAGTCCTACATTAAGCTACATTAAGCTCCTATTTTATTATTTTTTTTTTCATTTTTTTAAAACTTTTTCATTGAATCACTGTGAGACAGACCCTTACAAAGCTGTCATGATTGGATTTCAGTCATACAGTATTCCAACACCCATCCATCCACCAGTGTACATTTGCCAAGACCAGTGTCCTCAAGTTCCCTCCCAACACCCTCCACCCCCACCCCCTGCCTGCCTCTATGGCAGGTCTCCTCCCTCCCTCCCTCCCTCCCTCCCTCCCTCACTCCCTCCCTCTCCCCACCCCCTTTTGGGCACTGTGGTTTACAATATTGATACTGAAAGGTTATCAAGAATATCTTTTTACCCACTTTTTTTTTCAGGCTTAAAATCTATTTTGAAACGCGTAGATAAACATTTTAAAAAATAATGCTTTAAAAGTCTCTTCCTCTTCACCCCAAAGTGTACCAAGTTATACTAAATAGTAGCAGCCTCCGCTTGTTTTACCCATTTTTAACACTCAGTTCTTGCTCAGTGTGATCATTCCCAGCTATTATTGTTATACTGGTCTCTTCTCTATCTTACCATCCTCAGCCACACACACACTTGTGGTTAGTTCCAACCACTGACCAGTCCTCCTAACCTTTGTTTTCCATGGCCATGGATATTCGTCTTCTATTATATATACGTATATTTATATATACCACAAATGAATATAGTCATGAATTTTCCTTTCTATACCAGGGGGAAATCCAGCAAGCCAGCAACATAAAATGAGATTACCTTTATTGCTGCACACTGAAAGTGCAATTTCAGAATTGTTACTCAGAGGAAGGCGTCTTCCTTTCCCTACAAGCTCTTTATTTACAAATGTTCCGTTTCCACTGTGATCCTCTATGTACGCTATGTAAGAGTTTTTCGGTCCCATTTCCTGAAAGAGAGAACATGTTAATTCAAGAGTTTAACAGTAGGGGCCAGGGATGTGGCTCAGTGAAAGAGCCTATGTCTTACATGTTCGAGGCCCCTAGTTCAGACCCAGCACCACCAAAAATAAGTAAAATAAACCAAGTCTTCATGCAGGAAATGTACAGTGGGAAGACACTTAAAGGTTCCAACCCCCAAATACGAGAATACTTGTCAGCTGGGGCCGGAAGTCCAGTGGGTATGACCCTTGCCTTGCATGCAGCTGACCCAGGTTCAATCTCCAGCATCCCGTATGGTCTCCTGAGCCCACCAGAAGAAATTCCTGATCTCACAGCCAGGAGTAACCCCTGAGCACTGTAGGGTGTGACCCTCAAACAAATAAATACATGAATTTAAAGAAAAAAAAAGGATTCTTGTCACCTACCCTGAAAATCCGAAAGTGCTTCTTGCTGTAAGTCCGGTATATGTCTGTTCTTTTCAGCAGTGGCTCATCAAAGCAGTATTCACAGCTTTTGTCCCTCCCAAACCAGTAGCTGTCATTAACACACTCTGTAACACCAAAGCACACATCAGAGAGCTGTTGACTGCCATATAGCAAATACCGTTAAATATCATTCCTGGGCTGGAGCAAAAGCACAGTGGGTAGGGCATTTGCCTTGCAAGCGACCAACCCGGGTTCGATTCCCAGCATCCCATATGGTCCCCTGAGCACCGCCAGGGGTGATTCCTGAGTGTAGAGTCAGGAGTAACCCCTGTGCATCACTGGGTGTGACCCAAAAAGCAAAAAAAAAAAAAAAAAATCATTTCTAAAATCTACATGGAGGGGGGGAAAAAAGCCAAAGAAGGTCATCAAAGTTATAAATTTGTTTATCAAGCTCTTATAACATGGGCCAGAGAGATGGTTGATGGGTTGAGCTCATGGTTTACATTGAAGAGACCCAGGCTTGACCTCAGCACTGCAGCAGAAAAGAGAGTAATGCCAAGAACAGTTGGGTGTGGTCAAAATTAATTTTTTAAAGGGAGCTATGGAGAGATAGTATAGTGGGTAGGGCATTTGTGAAGCCAACCTGGGTTGAATCCCGGGGACACCCCACATGGTCCCCAGAGTTTTGCAGGGATTCCTGAACGCAGATGAATCAGGGATTCCTGAACTTACTTCCAGGAGTAAGCCCTGTGAAGTTTTGGCTGCAATAGTGAGGCAGGCAGGTAGATAAGAAAGGGCCCAGGGCAATGGAATTCCTGGGAAGAAATAAAACCAAATAGCCCTGAAGCTGCAAAGAGCTCACCTGTGAGCACAGGAACTAAGGCCTGATAAGACCTTCCTGGCACCAGAAACAGACCCTGAGGAGGCTGGACTCCAACTGAGAAGATAAACGTCAGCAGAGACAGAGACTGCAATTAAGGAGATAGATTGCCAAAAACTTCAAAGCTCTTCCAATTGAAGACAATACCTGCTCAACCCTTACCTCTGGCAGGAAATCCAAAACCTAGGCAACCCTAAGAATAACCATATAAAAGGTGATCAGGAAGGCCATTCTAGGCTCTCTCCCTAGGGACCTCTGGAGCGGCCTACTAACTCCCTCCCTTTCCTCTCCGCCTTCCCCTTCCCGAAAGCCTCCAAATAAAATGTTTTTACTTCACTGCTGTCTCCTCCAGAAATGCTTTTCTGTGAGACAGGACAAATCTGGAAGGCCCGGGGAAGGCCTAGGGCTGGCTCTCCTTCCCTGCAAAGCGCAGTTCCTCTCTCCAGCCCTCAGAAATTCGATGATGGGGATCAACTCCCATGCAGAGAAGACCAAGTGGCATCGGCCACCTGGTGGGGCTGGCAGGGGCTGCCACCCAGGGGCTCATCACAGACTTTATCATTCCTAGTCTTCCACCCGGTCCCAGGGTGGCAGAGGCAGACTGGGAGAAAGTGATTGTCTCTCTCCTTACATAAGACACCCATGGGGGCGCAGAGACTTCAGTAGAAATCACTGCCCGCCCCCCCCAACAACAACAAAAGTTCTCAGAGAGGGGCCGGAGTGATAGCACAGCGGGTAGGGCGTTTGCCTTGCACCCGGAAGACCTGGGTTTGATCCCCAGCATCCCATATGGTCCCCTGGGCACCGCCAGGAGGGAGTGGTTCCTGAGTGCAGAGCCAGGAGTGACCCCTGAGCAATGCTGGGTGTGACCCAAAAAGCAACAACAAAAAAAAAAGTTCACAGAGGGGCAAGGGAAACAGCTCAGGCATCATGCATGCACGTGTCATGCATGACTGGACCAAGTCCAATTCTGGCACTGCACAGCCGCCCAAGAGCTCCCAGAACCACTGGGGCTTAAGCGCTGACCCAACTAGCAAGAGTTGGGCTGAGCATTACTGTGAGTTGCCCTTGGGTCCCATGAACACCGCTTGGGGGTACCAACCCACCACCCCCCAAAAAAAGGGGAAATTCTCGCCTTTTCTTTGGAGAAATAAATTCCTACTTACTGTATGAGGACTGTTACAACCCCAGAGAAGCTAAAGGCCCAACCGCCTGGACTCCCTTGCTTGCCCTCTGCCTGCCTGGCCAGGGCAGAGCAGACTGGACCTACGGGACCCGCCGTAACAGGGTCTGAGCTAACTGCTGCCAGCGGTAATCATTTTTTTTTTTAATTTTTCAGTTGTATTTTTGAGAACAAGAAGTTACTAGCAGGACTAAGCACTTGATCCTAAATACTTAGATTCTGGGAAAGGGTAAGGAGCGTCCGGGTACGAAATGGGGGCTTAAGGTATAAGCTGACTACAGAGCAAATGCTCCCGGCCCCAGGTCTCTTGGACTTGCAAGCCCACAGTGCTACACCTTATGTGAGAATAAATCGGTTGCCTTTTGTGCCTTCAATTCTGAGAGACACCGACAGCCCTCCCTAACATTTATAACCCTCCAAGAGGTTATAACTTTTTCTTCTTGGGTCACACCCAGCAATGCTCAGAGGTTACTCCTGGCTCTGTGGTCAGGAATTACTCCTGGCGGTGCTTGGGGGACCATATGGGATGCCGGGGATCAAACTCAGGTCGACTGTGTGCAAGGCAAATGCCCTACCTGCTGTACTATTGCTCTGGCCCCAGTTATAACATTTACAACCCTTCATTCCCAGCTCTCTGGATGGTCAAAAGACTTAAGAGTAAAACCTACACTTCTCCCTATCACCGGGCAGCCGCTCCTCATCCTCCTTTTTTTGCCACACCCAGATCCCTTGACCCTCTTGCAGTGCCCCAAATGTGCCAGGCACGGCCAGCCTGGTGGTCTGTCATATTTCAGTCCCAGCTCTCTGGACTCAGAATGCGCCGGTGTGAACTCCATGCTCACCTCCCACCCAGCTCTCACCCAAGCACTCCAGGGGTCTCACTGCCCCCCTGCTTATAATGGTCTTGCATTTAGTTTCCCTCTCAATCTGGACAAAAATTGAAAATTAGCTTATTCCTATAGTGGCTCCCCACATTCTAGTCAGAACACAATCAGTGGGCAGTGAGGTGGTATCCTAAGGCCTCTGTTGAAGGCGAGTTTCAGGGACCGAAGACACTTAGTATAGGAGTTAAGGCACATACCTTGCATGTGGCCGACTCTAGTTTGATCCCTGTGCCAGGGATCAAAGCCCTGCCAGGAGTAATCCCTGAGCACAGAGACAGGGGTAAGTCCTGAACACACACAGGAGTAAACCCTCAGCCTCTCTGGGAATGGTCCCAAAATCAAAAACAAAACAAAGAAAGACAGAAATGCCTACTTTATGACCAGCAATTCCACTCACTTTCTGCCCCAGAGACACTTGCCCCAAACCAAACAAGGACACCACCACCGAGATGCACATCAGCACCTGGAAACCACCAAGGAGTGACTGACGGATGGTGCAGAGACAGGCAATGCCCACTCAAGTGTGAGGGCCTGAGTTCAGACGCAGACGCTGCCTGCAGGCACCAGGTGAGGTCCCTGCAGTTCTGAAATTCCAAAAGACATATGTACACGTGTGTCCACGACCGCATAATTCATGATAGCCAAGGTCTGGAAAAAACCCAAATGTCTGACCATGGATGAACAGATAACAAAATTGGGGCTTAAGGCACGTGTCTTGCATGTGGCCGACCCTGGTTCAATCCCCAGCACTGCATCAGGCCCCCCAAGCACTGCCCAGAGTGACACCTGAGCAGAGTCAGGAGTAAGTCCTGAGAATCACCAGGGCTGGCAAAAAAATCCATAAAGCAAAAGGGAAAAAAATATAGTTCAGGGGGCCAGAGCCATAATATAGCAGGTAGGGCATTTGCCTCGCACGTGGCTGAGCTGGGTTTGATCCCTGGCATTTCGTGAGGTCCCCTGAGCACTGCCAGGAATAATTCCTGAGTGGAGCGATAGCATAGCGGGTAGGGCGTCTGCCTTGCACGCAGCCAACATGGCCGACCCGAGTTCGATTCCTCCGCCCCTCTCGGAGAGCCTGGCAAGCTACCGAGAGTATTCGATATGCCAGACACAGTAACAACAAAGTCTCCAATGGAGACGTTACTGGGCCCGCTCGAGCAAATCGAGTGCACCCCACCGCCCACAAAAAAAAGTCCACTGGAGGACTAATGTGATTCCAGTTAATAGTAAAGTAAAGGCCCTCCCGTTGATCATCGATTTGCTCGAGCGGGCCCAGTAACGTCTCCATTGGAGACTTTGTTGTTACTGTGTTTGGCATATTGAATACGTCACGGGGGGCTTGCCAGGCTCTGCCGTGCGGGCGATACTCTCGGTAGCTTGCCGGGCTCTCCGAGAGGGGCGGAGGAATCGAACTCGGGTCGGCCATGTTGGCTGTGTGCAAGGCAAACGCCCTACCGCTGTGCTATCACTCCAGCCCAGTTAATAATAATGTAATATTGGGGCCAGAGTGATACACAGTACAGCAGGTAGGGTGCTTGCCTTGCACTCGGCTGACCCAGGTCCTACCCCTGGTACCCCATATGGTCCACCGAACCCTCCAAAGGTAATCTCTGAGCACAGAGCCAGAAATAAACTCTTAACACTGTGAGGTGTGCCCCCCCACAAACAATAACAAAAACATAATAATGTTGAAACATAATATAGTTGAAAGTTGCTGAGTGGATCTAAAAAAAAATTAAAATGGTAATTATGCATTGGGATGGAAGAGTTAGCCAGTATCACGGTAGTAATCGCTCTTTAAATATCAAATCAACTAAAATAAATTTAATAAACAGGAGTCAACAAATCATCTTCCCCATGATGAAACTACAGATTGGAGGTTCTGCAGTGGCTGCCAATGGGAAGCTTCTCATTATATGACAAACGTTTTCAAGTTTGCATGAATCTGCCTCTGAGGATCAGAGAGAAAGCTTCCTCTCAGACGGAGAGCATCCTGCAGAAACCCAACTGATGCTTCTTGAAGGGGATCCCCAGCAGCTGAGAAACAGGGTACTCCTACAAACGGCCCCGCTGTTCCTCAATCACTGCCTTCAAACGACCCCATTACCCCAAGAGTATTCTTCAGCCTCTGTTTTCTGAACACACCCTCTTACCCAGATTGGAGAATCCATCCTGCAGGGCCCATAATCGAGCCCAAGATACGGGGACGGGCTCCTCCGGTTCCTGGTCCTCGGGGATACTGGAGAGTTCCTGCGTGGATACTGTGTCCAAGGAGCTCAGTGTCCCGGAGCTGGACTGAGAGGACTGGCTGGGTGTGGGCACGCTGTTGCTGGAGGAGCTGGAAGTGCCCTGTGACTGGGAGGAGGAGCCGTGGGTCTGGGAGGAGGGGCCCAGGGGCAGCAGGAGGCCGCCGGGGGCCTGGGCGCCCGCCCCGCCACTACCCTGGCACTGCGAGGCACTGCAGTGGGGTTGCTGATGTTCTACATCCTTCTCATGAGACATCGCCACCTCAAAACGGGACAAGGAAACAATCAGAGCATGCATTTCAAGGGACAAAACTTCAAAAGTTTATGAGAAAGGGCTGGAGAGAGAGCACAGAGGACTGAGCTCAGGCTTGGCATGCAGGAAGTCTGCACTCAATCGCCAGCACCGAATAGTCCCCTGAGCACTGCAAGGAAGGGAGGACAGACCAGCCCCCACCCCCCAACCCCCAGCACTGAATTGGGAGGAGCCACAGAACACCACTAGGTGTCGCCCAAACACTATTCCCCACCCCCCACCCCCCACCCCCAGACACCACGAAAAAGGGAAGAATGAGTTGGGTTTTTTCTTTTAATGGGAGCCGGAGTTATAGAACAGCAGATAGGGCGCTTGCCTAGCAGGCGGCCAAACTGGGTTTTATCCCAGGCATCTCATACTGTCCCCTAAGCCCTGCCAGAAGTGATCCCTGAGCACAGAGCCAGGAGTAAGCCCTGAGCACCATTGGTGTGACCCAAAAATCAAAACAGGCATTCTTTTTATTTTGGGGTTTTGAGTCATACCCAGTGGTGCTCAAGAGACCACATGGGCTCAAACTCAGACCTCCAGTATCAAGCCTGTGCACTGACCCTTTGAACTACTGCCCCAACCCCAAACATCCTAAAATTCTAGCCCTATTATTCTATAACTAGAAATTCTATACCTCTGGGCCAGAGAGACCTACCATGGGTAGGGTACCAGTCTCCCAAGCAGCTGACTAGGGTTCATCTCCAGAGCAGTATATGATCCCCTAAAGCCATGCCAGGAGCGATCCTTGAGCACAGAGCCAGGAGTAAGCCCTGAGCACAGCGGAGTGTGGCCCAAAAAACCATAAATGAATAAACTGAAAGAAAATTCTATACTTTTGAGCTGAGATTTTTATCAAATCATTTTCACCAGATCAGTTTTCTGACAGTCACAAATGACCAGAAGAAAATAAAACCCGAACAAAAAAGTAGAGGGTAGGCCAGAGCTAGAATACAGCAGGTAAGGTGCTTGCCCTGCAAATGGCCAACTGAGATTGGATCCTTGGCACCCCATATGGTCCCCTGAGCACCACCAGGACTGATTCCTGTGCACACACCTAGAAATAAGCACTGAGCACTGCTGGGTATGGCTTAAAAAAAATAAATGGGCCAGAGCAATAGTACAGTGGGTAGGGAGCTTGCCTTGCACACAGCCAACCTGGGTTCAATCCCAGCATCCCATATGGTCCCCAGAGCACTGCCACTAGTGATTCCTGTGCGCAGAGCCAGGAGTAACCCCTGAGTATTGTCAGATGTAGCCCACAAACCAAAAAATATTACAAAAAAAATGCAAACAAAAAAATTTTAAAAGTTAAAAACGAATAATATGATGAATTGTTAAAACTGTTAATAGAAATACGGCAAAGCGATAATTCCTAATCTTAATTTTTTTATTTCTTTTTGCGCTGTCTGGGACCAACCCAGGGTCTCACCCAGGTAGGGCAAGTGTTCTTTACTGCTGAGACAAATCCCTGGCCTTTAATCTGTTCGGGTTTGGGTTGGTTTGGTTTGGGGTCACACCAGCTATACTAGGGGGTTACTCCTGGCTCTGTGATCAGGGATCACTTCTGGTAGTGCTGGGGACAAAGGTGGGGGGCCACATGTGTTGCTGGAGATGGAAGGGGTCTGCCACAAGCAAGGCAAGCGCCTTGGCCCAGTACACTCATCCATTCACACTCACACTCACTCCCTCTCTTTCTCTCTCTCCAGTTCCCTCAACTTCATTTTAAAAATGCGTTTTTTAATCCCCTCTACTTCCCCAGAATATAATAAACATGGGTCCCACATACTGCATTTGCTCAGCTTTCCAGATAGCTCCTGTTGTTTGCAGAGCACACCAGGAAGAGGGTACAGAGCAGTCAGCCACTCTGGCTTTGTCCTGTGCCACTTCTGACTTCTCAGGCCTGAAAAAGTGGCAAAAAGACAGTGTGTGTGCCAGGTATTAGCTGCTCTCATAGGTCATGATCTATAAGGCTCCGAGAGGTCAGACCACAATCGGCCTCACCCAGAAAGAAAAGATATGGGCATTTCCTAATAAAAAACGCTCATCGTATTTTTTGTTTTTCAGTAATAGTGGCAAAATGAAGAGGAAAAAAACCCGCTTTATATACCGGCCACACCCCACTACTTCGCAAATAAATAAATAAATCACTTGGCATAAACCCTGAAAATATCCATAGAGGTGTGATTAGAGGCAAACAGGTTCAAGACATCCGAATCAAATTTTCATAGCACCTCTAGGTGGAGCACAACCTCACTGAGCCCATTTCCTTAACGGAAATAAAAGGTAGATAAAATCTGGATTAACTGAGATGATGCACGAATGCCCCTCCCCCAGTAATGTTTGATACCTGGAGGGCAGAATTGCAGTCTCAAAGAGCCCAACACACCCAGAAAGATGATGCATGATCACTCTTGCCCCAGAAACGCTGAATAATCCCCTTCCCCAAGGCTTCAACACTCAAAATCTCCTTACAAGTAAACAACACATGTTTTTTTCAAACGGAGATACTGAGTAGCACTACCCCCTACCACACACACTTAGTTAGGGGCACTCCCGGGGGTTTCCTCTTACACAGAGCAGGGCTGTGTTTCCAAAGCCTGTGCCTTCGCAGCCAAGAGTCGGATGCCCTGTGGGCATTTTTAAGACTGAACCTGAAGTATGGTAACAATTACCAACATGCAGTTATTTCCAAAGCAACTTTACTGACTCTGAAAGTCACAACGTTTTTGTTTCCCTAGTCTGACGTCTGGGCCAGTTTCAGCTCGTAAGGGGGGAGGGGGAGGGCAGTGCATTTCAGCACGCTGTTTCCTACAAAGAAGGAAGAATCTCCCAGGCATCTCAAGTCCTCCCCACCCCCTCCCAACGCGAAAGCAGAAGAAGCGGAAGCTCGGGATATTCCGCGTGCACTAAAGCCCTGCGGAGGGGACTCGAACCCACACACAACCGAGAGCAGTTTCCCCCACTATGACTCACCGCGTGAGCCCACCTGAAGCGGCACATTCCTAGCAGCCGCAGCCAACAGCGTGGCGCTAAAGCCGCATATACAAACTCCACCCTCCACCAATCAGAACGCCCCTCCGCCGCGGCGCGACCAATCAGGAGCAGCGGAGGTCGCCGAGCAGGCGCGGCCGCGGTGCCTGCCGGGAAGTGTAGTTTAGAACCAAGAGCGGGACACAGGCTCCAAGTTTTCCCCTCCGAGTGGTCCCGCCCCTCCGCAGTCCTCCAGCCAATCAGGAGCACCCCTCGCTCGGCCGCGGCTCCCGCTCTGCCCCCTCCGGTGACCGCTGCTAGAAGACAGGCCGCGGGCCGGATGTCGGGCTGCTGGGCCGGGGCCTTCCTCCGGGCTTGGGGGTCGTGGCCCGCGGGGATTCTGAGAAGGAGGCCGCTAAGCTGCAATGCCGCCGCGGCCCGGTGTTGGAACTGCGGCGAAGCGGGGGGCGCGGCGCGGGGAGATGGGTTCTTCTGCCCGCAGTGCCACTCCCTGCAGCCCCCTGACCCCACTCGGGACTACTTCAGCCTCTTGGACTGGTAACACGCGTGGCCGGGCGGAGGGACGTCGGCGGCCGCCAGGGCTGGGGGCCGGAGGGGGGGTGAGGACTTTGGGAAGAAGGCGGAACCGGTAGGAGACAGGTGGGCGGAACCCTACGGAGGGGGGTGGGGAGAGACCGCCGGGGAGGGGGCGAGGGATCGAGGCGGGAGTGGATGGGGAATGGATCAGGGGCCGTTGGGGGTAACTTAAGAGCCAGGGGACAGGGCTCAGGCACTTGCCTTGCACGTGGCTGCCTCGGGTTCAATCCCCTACACCCCATATGGTCCCTCGAGCCCCGCCAGGGGTGATCCCGAAGCACAGAGCCAGGAGTAAGCCCTGGTCATACTAGAACAAAAAGAAAGTTTAAAAAAAGAAATCTAAAAACCCGTTCTGGGAGGCGTTGTACGGGGAAAGTGCAAAAAAGAGGGACAGGAGCCCAGAGTGGGTCTTTCCAGCTCCTTCCTCTCCCCGCCTCCGCCCTCCCCAAGGTTGAGGAGTTCGGAGAGGTGAGGGCGAGGTGTCGGTGAGGTTGAGCCTTAGGTGGGTCTAAACTCGCAGGAAAACTGGTGAGACCCGGCACACTGCTGGAAGAGAAGGAAACGGGCTGAAAATGAAGGGGAGGAGGAAGAGGGGCTCGAGGAGGTGGCTCCTTGGGCTGGCGCACCAATGATCCCAGGGCCTGGATAGTCCCTAAACACCACAGGGGTGCTCCGCAGCCCCTGGGATGGGGGGAAGGGGAGGTTGTGGAAAGGAGGGGAGTGGCCCCACCTCCTGGCACTGCGGGCTCTGACCCCGACCCCAACCAAAATTAAATAAGTGGAAGAGGACTGGAGAGGTAGCTCAAAGGTCTAGAACTCCTGCTCTGTATACAGGAAGTCTGGGTTTGATACCTGCACTGCCAGGAGTGGTCACAGAGCCCTGAGCCTGGTGCAGTCTCCAGCACCTCCAGATGTTGCCCCACCCCTTCACCTCTAAAACAACATTAAGGGGGGCTGGAGCAATAGCACAGCGGGTAGGACGTTTGTCTTGCAGGAGGTCGACCCAGTTTGATTCCCAGCATCCCATATGGTCCCCTGAGCACCGCCAGGAGTTATTCCTGAGTGCAGAGCCAGAAGTAATCCCTGTGCATCGCCGGGTGTCACCCGAAAAGGAAAAAAAAAAATAAGTAGGAGAAAGAGATGAAGGAATGTGTGCCTTGAAAAGACAAGTTTGGGTCCTGAGCAGTAGTACAGTGGGTGTGGCGCTTGCTTTGCACGCGGCTGACCTGGGTATGATCTCCGGCGCCCCAAACGGTCCCCCCTGCACCACCAGGAGTGATTCCTGAGTTCAAGCCAAGAGTAACCCCTGAGCATCACCCGGGTGTAGCCCAAAAACCAAGGGTGAAAAAAGTAAAAGAAAAAGTTGGCCCAAGAGCCAAACCAGGAGTGATCCCTGAGCACTCAAGCATGGGAAAAAGGAAAAAGAAAAAAAAGATGACAAGATGGACTAGAAATGTCCTTATATCTGGGCCCCCAGCCCCACCCTCACTGACAACTTATGCTGGGCTTTTGGGTTCAAGCACCGATCTTTTCCCACCGCAAAACCACTGTGTGTGTGTGTGTGTGTGTGTGTGTGTGTGTGTGTGTGTGTGTGTGCCCTCCACCTGGATGATCCTCTTCTGGTCCTCAATTGATTGTCGTCATTATTCAGGATAGCTCAAATGCCATCTCTCTCTTTGTCCGCGTCCACTACTATCTTTGACTTTATCCTGTTTTCTGTCACATCATCTCCTATATTTTGAAATTATCTATCTAGATGTTTCTTGTGCCTGGCCACATGAGAGCAGAAAATAGGCCCCCAGCTCCATCAGTATTTGACGTGACTTTCTCCCCCTCCCCCCCCATTCTCCTTCCAGCCACCGTTCCTTCAGAATTGACACTGGGAAACTCCAGCATAAGTACCAGCAGTTACAGCGGCTTGTCCACCCAGATTTCTTCAGCCAGAAATCTCAGGTAGCCACCAGCCAGGCCTAATCACACCAAATCATGCTTGAGCCTGGGGTGGAGAGCCTAACCCTCTGATTGTGGATGAGCAGACACAACTGGACAGCCGGCCCCTCCCTGTGGCTGCATGACCACAGCCACCCAGACCCTAGGCCTGGCTTTTTCCCCACTTCGAACCACCCACTGAAATTAAGAAGCAGCTTGTCCCACATGAGCTCGACCTGGTTCTCTTCCTCAGGCGCCTGCCCAGCAGTCTTTTATGAAACAGTCAGTGAATGTAAGGTGACTAACATGGATGGTAATAAGCGTGTCTTCCTCTCTACTGACAGACCGAAAAGGACTTCTCAAAGAAGCACTCGACCCTGGTGAATGACGCCTATAAGACCCTGCAGGCCCCCCTGAGCAGGGGACTTTACCTTGTAAGGTGATTTTCCAGCCCTTTTCTGTGTGACGGTCTGCCTGGCCTCCATCTCCCCATGAAACACCTGCCCCCTGCTGTGTAGCGGCAGCGTGCCTGGGGGTGCTGGGCAGTCAGGAAGCCAATGGGAGTCCACGGCAAGGACACTACGTAAGGGCCAGGATGATGGTACAGCAGGTAGGGCCTTTGCCTTGCACCGGGCCAACCTAGGTTTGATCCCCAGCATCCCATACGGGCCCCCGAGCACCTCCCAAGAGCGAATCTTGAGTGCAGAGCCAGGAGTAAACTCTGAGCATCAGCGGGCATGGCCCCAAAACAACAACAACAAAACACCAAGATGCTACACAAGCCTTTTTTCATTTTTTTAATTTGATCAACAGCCTTTTTTTCTTTTTCTTACCATCTGAAGAACTGGGTGATGATTCTTGGGAAAGAGTTTTCGGGGGTTTTTGTTTTTCAGGGGGAAAGGAGGTGGTGAGCTGCTAAGGATTTTGAGTAGGAACTTTGCACACGTCTAACTCAGCCTCCTGAGAAGAGAAGTAACTCCCGCAGGATCCTGCAGTTCCCAGTAACTGAGGATGGTCACTTCCCAGCACTTTTTTTCCAATAATGTGGGAGTACTGTTTATTCAGCCATTGATTAAGCTGATTAAATTGGGCAGGAATGCCACATTTTTTTCTTAATTCAGAATGTTAATTTTATTATTATTTTCCCCCCTTTATATTGATTCACCGTGAGATACAGTTACAAAGCTTTCGTGTTTGAGCTTTGGTCATACAATCATCAAACACCCAACCCTTCACCAGTGCACATTTTCCACCACCAAAGTCCCCAGTATTCCCCCCACCCACCCCATTCCAACCTTTCCCCTGCCGGTGTAGCAGACAATTTCCCCCATATTCTCTCTCTACTTTGGTTACATTCGATATTTCAACACCAGTCCCACCACTGCTCAAACCTGCCGAAAAGGCAAAGTCTCAATGATTTGTTTCGTATTGCTTGTTATGGATAGAATATAATGTCCAGCACATTCTGCAGTGCTCTTTTCCAGGAGCTTTAGTTTATATAATCTCTGGGTCTTGGCTGTTGGTGAGATTACATGGGGCAGTTTGTGGGTGTGTCTGCCAAGCTACTGGAAAACTGAGGACCTGGGGGGAGGAGGCCCAGTCCCCATCCAAGTGGGCTTGGAGATCTCCATCACAACTTCCCAGCATTCTTGCGTCAGTTCCAGAGGTCAGCACCCTTCTCTCACACCTTCATGATAAGGACAGGAAAAGGTTTTTTTTTTTTTTAATTTATGCAGTTTTTGTTTTGAGGCCACATCCAGTAATGCACAGGGGTTATTCCTGGATCTGTACTCAGGTATTACTCTTGACAGAGCTTTGGGACCCATCTGGGATGTGGGGGTTCGAACCCAGGACAACCATGTTCAAGGCAAATGCCCTACCCATTATATCATCGCTCCAACCCCAGCAGAAGGTGTTGCTTATCTGATATTTTAAAGTGTGAGTGGTGTTTGCATGATGCTAGACATGATTTTTTGAACCCAACTTCTTTCTCCTGTTTTTTGCCCCACTAGCTAAAGCTCCGTGGAATAGAGATTACTGAAGGAACAGATTATAAAATGGACACACAGTTCCTCATGGAAATAATGGAAATCAATGAAAAACTCACAGAAGCTCGAAGTGAAGCTGCCATGAAAGAGATTGAGTCTGTTGTCAGAGGTAAAAGATAAAATGCCACCAGATGCAATTGATTGCTGTCAGGAATAGATGTCCGTTGTTAAATGGGAAATTAGCATAAAGACTGTAATATGGGTTATTCTAATGAATCGGAGAGGATTTTTCTGGGATTGAATTAAAACCAATTTTATCTGGAGGTTAGATTTACAACTTCCCTTTCTAGCAGGGAGTCTCAAATCAAGATAATAGTAATTTTCAGGTTGTTTGGCTCTGTCCCACCCATAACACCATTTAAATTATTGGCTCATGAGTGAAACCGGCCTCAGAAATGGAAATGCCTGAGATATCGCAGATAGAGAGCAAAGATGGATGTTTTGATCCCGTCTTGCTTTTGCTTTCTACTTTATTCCGTAGGACCAACAGTTTATGTGTACGGGTGTGTGTGTGTGTGTGTGTGTGTGTGTGTGTGTGTAGGGCTGGGGGAGAGAAATTTGTTTCAAGGAATTAACTAGTTGGGGTGGCTAACGAATTTTAATACCTAAGGCAAACCAACAAGTTGGAAACTCAGCGAAAACATCTCTGAAGGTCTTTGAGGCAAAATTTCTTTTTGTCCAGGAAACATGTTTTTGCTCTTAATGCCTTGAACTGATTCTATGAAGGCCCTCCACATTATCAAAGATAATCACTTTTACTTAAAGTCAACCTTTTTGTCAGTGTTACAGCTACAAAATACCTTCACATCTTAACCGAACAACTGGACTCCATAGACCAACCAGTTTTACACACAAAATGAACCATGCTGAGGGCCAGAGAGAGAGCACAGTGGGTACAGTGCTTGCCTCCCAAGTGGCCAAACCTGGTTCAAATCCCGGTGCCATGTGTAGTCCTCTGACCACCAAGAGTGATCCCTCAATACCTCCAGCCCAACTACCCCCTCCCTCCCCGAACTCCCCTCCTAGAAAAAAGACAAGTAAACCACGCTGTGTAGAAATGCATCAAGGCCTATTCCAACGGTTTTCATGGCTATGGTTTCACAAATGTTTGTGGTAGGCCCGCTGTGGATCAGGCAGTGCACATGGCATTGAGTCCTGAGCAAAACGATACTCCCGGGCCTTCGTGGCACTTACACATTCCAATTCAATGTGCCCAGGATGGAACTCCTGAGCATCTCCCCTCATTTCCCCCAGAACTTGACTCTCTGACAGAGAATAACACAGTCCAGTTGCACACGTCCAAACCCCTGAGGAGGCACCCTTCATGGCCTCTTACCAAATCTTGAAGGATGACCTCAAATGTCCCAAGTTTGTCCATCCTTCTCCATCTCCACCGGTCCTACTACCATGCTGTCACCTGAACATCTGAGGGAGCCCTGATGGATCCAGCTGGACCTTCAAGGCACATCTAATGTGTACCTCTGCCATCTGTCACCATGGGACCTCTGGGACACTCAGACCTACTATGATCCTAGACCTTGCTTACATTTGATTCAGTAGCAGGACTGTGAATATGTCTCAAAGGGCTGGAGAATTTGCTTTGCATGAAGGAATCCCAGATTTGATCCTTGGCACCTCCTGATCCCCTAAGCATTGCCAGGTGTGATCCCTGGGCACCAAGCTGGGAGTAGCCGATGAGCACCTCCAGCACCACCAGAACTAAAAGGAAAAAGTGTTAAGTAGTTTCCCATTCTTCTTAGATTAAAAAATCAAACTTTTATTTGGGGAGGGTGAGTGGGGTGACAGACGGGATGGGGAAATCACCTGGCAGTGTTCAGGGATACTCCTGGTTCTGTACTCAGACCTTTCTTTTTTTTTTTTTCTCTCTTTTGGGTCACACCTGGTGATGCACAGGGGTTACTCCTGGCTCTGCACTAAGAAATTGCTCCTGGTGGTGCTTGGGGGGCCATATGGGATGCTGGAAATCAAACCCGGGTCAGCCACATACAAGGCAAACGCCCTACTCACTATGGCTATGGCTCCAGCCCCAGGCCTTTCTTTGGGTGTTCAAGAAACTATTCAGTGCCAGTGTTCCAACTGGGGTCAGCTGCACACAGGACAAGCACTTTGCCTCGTTCATTTTTCCAACAAGGGGTAAGGTTTCCAACCTAACCTAAAACACCAAACTCTTCAGCTTAATTTATAAGGTTTTGCACTATTTGGCTTCTGCTTTACACAAGCCATTTCCAGTTCTTTACCTATACCATGTGCAAAGGCTGGGGGTAATACCTTTCTACCCCAGGGCCTTTGCATATGCTGTTGCTTCTGCCAGAAACCTTCCCCACCCCAGTTTGTATTTATGTTTCTCCTTCAGATATGAGGGCTATCATCATTTAGACTGTGGTACCTATAGTTTAAACCTTTTTTTTTTATACTGGGTACTGCTCCTTTGTAGAAATAACCAGCGAAAACCATACTGCTCAGGGCCAGAGAAATAATAGAGCAGGTAAGGTGCTTGTCTTACATGCAGCTGACCAGGGTTCAATCACCGGCATCCCATGTGGTCCCCTGAGCACCATCAGGAGTGATCCTGAGCACAAAGCCAGGAGTAGCCCCCGAACATCACTGGATGTAGCACAAAAACCAAAACCAAATAAAAACTCCATAATGCTCTATGTAAGAATATCAGAGGAGTCTCAAGTTTCTCTCAAGTTCCCCTGTTAGACTTGACAGTTCTACAGGATCAGAACTTGTGTCACTGCTTCCCATCCATTCCCAGTACCCACGGAACAGTACTTTGAGTATAATAGAGGCTCTATAACTAGCAAGTGAGTGCATAATTAACAGAGAAGTCAATCAGGAGCTGGAGTGTTTGCTGCCTTCCATGCAGCTAACCTGGGTTCAATTTCTGGCATCCCGTATGGTCCCTCAAGTCCTGCCAGGAGTAATGCCCAAGTGCAGAGCCAAGAGAAATCCCTGAGCATTGCTAGGTATGGACCAAAAACTTTAAAAACAAAGAATATATTGGAAAGTCCTTTGAAACTAGATACCATAATAATGATTGATACTGGTTACATCCAAAATACTTATTTCTTTATATCCAAAATACAAAATTCTTTATTTCCTGGGCCAAAGAGATAGTACAGCAGATAAGGCACCTATCTTGCATGACCTGGGTCTGATCCTCAAAACACCACCAGGAGTAATTCCTGAGTGAAGATCCAGGTGTAACCCCTGAGTATTGCCAAGTGTGGCCCCAAAACAAATAAAAATGATTATTTCCTACTAAAGAAACAAGTAGAAAAAAGTGGCTGCTCCTTTGCTTCATTTGACATCTTCTGTCCTTTTTTGTCATTTTGTTGTTGTTGCTGTTATTGTGTTTATTTTGAGCCACACTTGGTTGTGCTTGGTCTTCCTCTTCACTCTATGCTCAAGGATTCCTCCTGGCATCTCAAGAGACATATGGGGTGCCAGGGATTGAATTCTTACTGGCACTTGCAAGGCCCAACCTGCTGGACTATCTCTTTGGCTTCTGACACTGTCTTGAAGGACAACATGACCTATTCGATTAGTTTTCCCAGGGAAGGTGTGTGGTTGACAAGTGTTTGGCTGATCCCCTGTCCACCTTGTTAACTCTTGGCTGGAATCTGGAAGTCTCAGGCTGGTAGCGATCATCAAGGCCTTTTCTCATTCTTTCTTGGTTTGTTCGTTATGGCCTCTCAGGCTTTACATTGGTAAAAAAGGATCCCATAATTGGATCAGCCACTCTGCCCTGAGCAAGAACTGCTGGTCAAGGGACAGTGACCAAAGTTATGGCACCTCCCTGCCATGTTGTCAAACCAAAATGATGACATAGTATTGTCTCCAAATCATGATTGCTTAAGTAGAAAAGTGAAGATAATGGTTTTTCTTTTGCAGAGAAACAGAAAGAATTGACTGACAGTGTGAGCAGAGCTTTTGAACAAGGTACTTCCTTTGTTTCTTGACTTCCTTTGAAAAGAGGTTTATTCTATAATAGCTATTACACACCCATCCCAGGATAGGGACATGGGAAAGTATAAAATATACTTGGGTCTGCATTTTCGCCTTTTAAGTTTTTATATATCTGGATGCAAAAACAAGTTGGAAGCTCAGCAATACCATGACTGCGCAAGAGGAAGTGCAAGACAGTGTTCCCCTTCTCTGTACGAGAGCAGAGGAGATGAGATGAGGGAGGGGGCGGGAGCCAACACAGCACGTGGCCCAGCATATGCCCCTTTCTTCTGCAAAGCCCAGGAAGAAAATGCATGCAGAGCTGTGCCCATGACACCAGTGAAACATTTGTTCTCGTCTCTTACTGCACCTGGCTCTCAGGTCAAAGAGACTGCAGACTGCAGTATCTTCTTCTAAGCAAAATACACACACATGCACGCACGCACGCACACACATGTACACAAAACAAAAACACATTTTGGGCCAGAGAGATAGTTCAGAGGTTAAGGGGCTTACCTTAAAAGCAGCGAACCCCAGTTTCTTGACGCCATCTATGGTTCCCTGAGCTCTGTCAAGAGTGAGCACAGAATAAGGAGTAGGCACTGAGCACAGCTGGTGTAACCCAAAAATAACAAAACTAAAAATACGCAGGGGGGCTGTAGATGAACAGCAAAAGACAGGCGCCTAGCCCAGTAAGTCTGCCTGAAACCCAAGTAGCCATTTCACTGGCTAAAATGGCCAGATGGTGTTTTACTGGGCCCCAACCCCAGCTGTTATTTTACTTTAGTGTACTTTATTATTATTATGAATACATAATGTGTAAATACAATTTAAAGAATGGTAACAGAACAAGCATCCATGTCTGCTATCACCTCGCTTAAGAAATAGAACGTGTGGGGCTGGAGAGATAGTACAGCGGGGAGGGCACTTGCCTCGCACATGACTGACCCAGGTTCAATCCCTGGCATCCCTTATGGTTCCCATAGCACTGCCAGGAGTCACCCCTGAGAATCGCCAGGTATGACCCAAAGACAAAACAAAAGGAAATAGAACATAATGAAGATACCTGTATGATTAGTAACTATATGAATAGAAACAAAACCGGAGGCCAGGGAGATAGTGCAGGGATTAGGGCATGTGTGTGACCCAAATTTGATCTCTGGGTCCATATTACCTCCTGAGCATCACCGAGTGTGGCCCTGGCATCCTCTGAGTGCTGCCAAGGCAGCTCTGGTGCACCCAGCACTGCAAGGCTCACCCGGCATCCCGTCCTCCGGCCCTTGCTCTCAGCTACCATCAGGTTGCCAAGTGTCACTGGATGGCCTCCAGGCCCCCTCAGCCCCTGCTTGGGAGGCCATGCCATACCCTCCCTCCAAAAGGAAGCTCAGCATGACTAGCTGTTAGTTGAGGGAAAATCAAACCACAGTGAGAGTACACCTCACACCACCAGGATAGCTACTACTGTCAAAAAGAAATTGTAAGCATTGGGAGGGACACAAGAAGTTAGAATCCTTGTGCACTAGTGGTTAACAAGACTGGGAGGAACAAAACTTGAGGGCTGGCACGATAGCACAGCAGGTAGGGCATTTGCCTTGCTTGTGGCCAACCCGGGTTTGATTCCCAGCATATGGTCCCCTGAGCACCACCAGGGGTAATTCCTGAGTGCATGAGATAGGAGTGACCCCTGTGTATCGCTAGGTGTGACCCAAAAAACTAAAAAAAAAAACAAACTGAACTTTTATAGAAATAACTGACCATTCATTGCTGGCATGGAGGATTCCTGGGGACTACTGGACAGTGATACTCTACCACTGGAAGTTTCCATGTTTGGGCCCCACAATGCCAGGGACCTCTAGGGACACACTCAGTGACTCTCAGGAGGAATCATAGTGTCAGGGATAGAACTCAGAATCTTATGCGTGTGCCCTGACTCCTGAGCAAACTCTCTGTCCCCAAAACTTCCATCTTTAAGGAAGAACAAGGGTGAGCGGGGGCTCAGTAGGGTCAGATGTGAAGTTTATAAAAAGCTGGCTAGGGTTGTTGGCTCATGGGGAATGCATCTGACTTGGCCACCGTAGGCTCCTTCCCTCCCAGAGCCTGGGAGGCAGGGGGCCCCATCTTCCTGGGGTGAGTGAAACAAACATGAAGAGACAGTAAGATGAGACACTCTCAACACTGTCCGTTAATTTCTCTTCTCTAAACACTGCCAATTCATTTCTTATCCTGCTGCCTTTGTCAAGGACTAGCTGAACCATCTGTTGAGTCTCGGGAATGGAGGCGGTTTGCTGGGTTTGCTGGATGACATGACCCATTAGGCATTTAATAAGAAACAGATTGTACTTTATAAACCACTCGATGCTAAAAGTCAAGAATCCAGCATCAGGGCCTGCAGCGATAGTACTGTGGGTAGGATGCATGCTTTGCAGCTGGGTGACCCGGGTTCGGTCCCAAGCACCCCATATGGTCCCTTGACCCCCCCACCAGGAGTGATCCCTGACCGCAGAGCCAGGAATAAGCCCTGAGCGCCGCTGGGTGTGTGACCGAAATCAAGCAACAACCAAAATAATGGTGGAAGTGGTCAATTTCATGGACGTCAATATCACCACAGTTAAAACTGTTTATAAATAAATTAACTGGAATAAAGAAATAAAGCATGCCCTTGCGTTTCCAATTTACAATTGCATCCCCTTCCATAATAACCACTCCTGAATTTTTGCATCAACCGTTCTGCTTCGTTTAAACCATAGATGAGTAGAAAGGAATAGTGTTTACTTTTGCATATATCTCAGGATGAGTCCTCAGCCTTGGCACTGCCCACATTTGGGGCCAGATAGGTCTTGGTTGCGGGGATCCTGCTCGGCAGTACCTGGAGCAGCACCCCTGGCTTCTGCTCGGAAGTTGTCAGTACACATTTTTCACTGTGACCTCCAGAAATGTCTCTGAGGTGGCCACACTGGGCTGGAGAGTACGGGGAGTAAGGCGCTTGCTTGCCTTGTACCCAGCTGACCCAGGTTCAGTCCCCAGTATCCCACGTGGTCTCCCAAACCCAGAGCTAGGAGCAGGCCCCAAACATTGCCGGATATGGCCGAAGGCACAGAACAAAACAAAACAGATATCGCCAAGCCTCCCATTGGGTGCAAAATCACCCTTCGTGACCCACCAAGCCCTCCGAGGGTATCACTGCAGGAGACCGGGAGCCCCTGGCGCTTGGTGCCGGGCCTCAGGACCCAGCGCTTCTGCACCCTTCTCAGAGTTAGATCACCAGACCTTCTGTTTGGAGCCACACCTGGCAGTGCTCAAGGCGTACTCCTGGTTCTGCACCCCGCCGGTCACTCCTGGCGGGGCTCGGGAGACCATATGAGGTGAACCGTCACCATAGGCAGGAAAGTCTTTAATAGTTTCCTGGGGGTGATCTCCCAAGTGCTCAGGCCCAGCACTGGTGCAGGGGACCACCAGGGTCACATCCAGGTGGTCCTGGGGAATCTAATCCCAAGCCTCGAGCTCGCAGGGATTTACTACACCCTTGGAGCTGTCTCCCTGGCCTCCCTAGGGGAAAAATTATTTGTTTTTGCTTTTATGCCACATCTGGTGATGCTTAAAGGGTTACTTACTCCTGGCCCTGCATTCAGGGATCACTCCTGGCAGTGCTCCGTAGACCATATGGGATGCCGGAGATCAAACATAGGTTGGCCACGTAGAAGGCAAAAATCCCTACCCGGTGTACTTTCTCTCTCGCCCCAAAGTAAGGAAAATCTCTTAAAGCACAAATCATTGATTTGCTGGGATTATGGTGGGGAGAATTTGTTTTATTTGGGGGCCATGCCCAGCAGTGCTCAGGGCTTCTTCCTGGCAGGGACCCAGGGGACCATACAGGGTGCCAGAGATCGAACCTGGGTCAGCCCCATGCAAGGCAAGGCCTTACCCATGGTACTATCTCTGCAGCCTCAGAATCCTTTTGTTGTTGTTGTTTTTTGTTTTGGGGTCACACCCAGCGATACTCGGGGGTTCCTCCTGGCTCTGCACTCAGGAATCACTCCTGGCAGTTGCTTGGGGGACCATATGGGATGCCGGGGATTGAACCCAGGTCAGCTGAGTGCAAGGCAAACACCCTGAGCGCTGCACTATCGCTCCGGCCCTCAGAATCCATTTTTCTAACTTAAAGTTTGAATCCCATACAGCTACTTTTCTGCATCTTTTTAATCCCTTCGTCCCCTTAACCAGCCAAATGTTCTCTCTCTCTCTCACTCTGATGTTCTCCATTGAGCAAGAGACCTGGTTTGATTCTTGCTTGAAATGAAGCCTCACGTGAATGTCTCTATTTCAGATGACTTTGAAAAAGCCAAGGAGATTTTAACAAAGATGAAATACTTTTCCAACGTAGAAGAAAAGATCAAGTTAAAGAAGATTCCCCTCTAGCTCCCCTAACTGTAGCATTTGAAAAATAAAAGTTCGTGTATTTCTTTTCTGGCTTCTGCTCATTATAAATAGAGTTGCTGTCATTCTTGGGTCATTTTAATTAAAGCTGGGGTTCAAGCATGCATAGGCCTGTATTATGCTGTTCATCTACTTGAGGGATAAGTTCTGTATGTTATTCCACACCTACCTTCCAGGCTAAGGGCCTAGCTTCTTAAACTTTGAGGCCATCTGGGTCCACATCACCAAGTGAAGGGATCATGAAAACTTGAGATATGGTAAAAATTTCAAAACATGGAACCAGGGCTGGTACAGCAGGTAGGACACTTGCCTTGCACGCAGGTTTTGTCCCAGCACCCCATACGGTTCCCTAAGCTCCATCAGGAGCAATTCCTGACAAAAGAGTAAGCCCTGAGCACCAGCAGGTGTGACTCCAAAACAAAGCAACAACAAAAAACCGTGGAACCAAAAACTAATCCACAACCAACCGCTGGGCAGGAGAGATGCTGCTGGGATTCAGTTGCTTGCCTTGCACCAAGGTATGGTCCCCTCACCACCGCCAGGGGTCACTCCTGAGCACTACTGAGGTAGCCCCAAAACAAAACAATCACAAATCCCAACTGTTCCTGGAAGCACTCAATCTTGTTATGTTCCTCTGGCGAAAAGGGGTTTGAATGGAAGTTTAAGCGATGCTGGGTTAGTGGTCGGGGAGGGGCCCCGCTGATGCCTTAAGTGGAAGTTCACCAAGGTTTCTGAAAGACAGGCAGTAAGTGTGTGTTTGGTGAGACATCCTGCTCTGTTCCAATACGTGGATGCTGCCTTTGGGGCCACAATTTACAAACCAGTTAGGGGCCAGAGATGGCCTTGGGCTGGCTGGCCTCCCTGACATCTGTCCTAGGGTAGGTCCTGCACTTACAGGCAATCTACCTTTCAGTGTGGCTTTCAGGGTATTTTGTTCAGGGAATCCCCTTACCCTCCCTCCACCCCACCTTCCTTTTAATATATTTTTCAGGTGCATTCTGTTTGGTGATCATGCAAAGCTGCTAAAAGGAGTCTGGCCTACGTTTCAAAATGTGGATACTGTGTCAGAGAGATTAGTACAGCAGGTAAGGCTCTGGCCTTGTAGGTGACCATCCTGGGTTTGATCCTGGCAACCCAAGTGAATCCTGAGTGAATCCTGAGCACAGAGCCAAAAGCCCTGAGCATTCCCTGGTCAGACCACCCAAAACAAAAAAAGCTAGAAAAGATTATCAAAAGTGTATCTGGAGGGGCTGGAGGAATAGTACAGCAGGTAGGGCGTTTGCCTAGCACACGGCGACCCGGGTTCAATCCCTGGCATCCCATATGGTCCCCCAAGCACCACCAGGAGTAGTTCCTGAGCACAGAGCCAAGAGTCACCCCTGAGTATAACCCAAAAAGGAAAAAAAAAGTGTATCTTGGCCCGGAAAGCTAGTACACCAGGTAAGGTGCCTGCCTTCCAGGTTTGATCCCTCACTGTGCTCCCTCCCCCCTCTTCCACCCCCCCCCCCCCCCGCACCACCAGGAGCGAGCCCTGAGCTCCAGTGGATGTGGTGTCCCCAAACACACACACACAAAAAACTTGCCTGGCATTAAACACTAGCCATGACTTCAGCTCCATCCTGGTATAGCAGAGCATTTTAACTTCTCTCCATACAGTGAACAAACTTACCATAATTTCCATATCATTCATATTTAGCTCAATGCCACTCCACTTCACCTCTGGACCTCGGCAATGTAGCTTAAATTACTGAATCATTTTCCAGGATGTGGAAACCCCGATACCACAGGAGTGATCCAAGAAGAAAAACCAAAAAAATTATTGATTCATTTAGAGAAAGAAAAAAAACATTTTTTCTCTGTCCCAAGGTCATTTAGAATAGAAAATTTCTTTTATAACTCTAAAAAATGGTTTGTGAGCTCTTGGAAAAAATTGCTTGCTTAGGGGTTGGAGCTATAGCACAGCAGGTAGGGCGTCTGCCTTGCATGTGGCTGACCTGAGTTCAATCCCCGGCATCCCATATGGTCCCCCAGGCACTGCCAAGAGTAACACCTGAGTGCAGAGCCAGGAGTAACCCCTGAGCATCACCAGTTATGACCCAAAACAACAACAACAATTTTAATTAAAATTAAAATTGCTTGCTTATATTTGAAAAGATCAGGGATCTGAGCTGAGGTGTTTCGTTTTGTTTTGTTTTTTGAGACTCACCCAGCAATGCTCAGGGGGTACTCCTGGCTCTGCACTCAGGAATTATTCCTGGACATACTCAGGGGACCATATGCAATGTCAGGGATCAAACCCGGGTTGGTCTCGTGCAAGGCAGACATCCTACCCACTGTATTATTGCTTCAGCTCCTGAATTGAGATTTTTTTTTTTCTTTTTGGGTCACACCCAGCTGATGCTCAAGGGTTACTCCTGGCTCTGCACTCAGGAATCACTGGCGGTGCTGGGAATCGAACCCAGGTTGACTGCATGCAAGGCAAACGCCCTACCCACTGTGCTATTGCTCCAACCCCCTGAACTGAGATTTAAATATAACTCCTAGACCTGCAAACTGGATGAAGGGAAGGCTGCAAACTATCAACTGCACACAGTTTCCCCTTGTCTAGGATTTTATATCTTGTGAATTCTGATTCAGCTATACTCAGTTAATATTTTAGAATTTATGGATCTTCCAAAGAAAGTAAAAAATTAAGGGGCTGGAGCGATAGCACAGCGGGTAGGGCGTTTGCCTTGTACGTGGCCGACCCAGGTTCGATTCCCAGCATCCCATATGGTTCCCCAAGCACCGCCAGGAGTGATTCCTGAGTGAAGAGCCAGGAGTAACCCCTGTGCATTGCGGGGTGTGACCCAAAAAGAAAAAAAAACAGTAAAAAATGAAAAAACATAGTCATAGTAGCACTCTGCAATGTACAGGAAGAATGAAGTTACTTGTCTAAAATACCCAACAAGAAGTCCTTTAATCAGTGATTTTCAACTTTTTACACCCAAAAACAGTGATAAATGGGAGAAATATTATAGTGATCACCAAGGAAGAATTTTTCTTAAACCTATAAGAAAATATTTAGGGCTGGAACAATAGCACAGCGGGTAGGGCGTTTGCCTTGCATGCTGCCGACCTGGGTTCGATTCCCAGCATCCCATATGGTCCCCTGAGCACCACCAGGAGTAATTTCTGGGTTTAAAGCTTGGAGTAACCCCTATGCATCGCCGGGTGTGACCCAAAAAGCCCAAAAAAAAGAAAAAGAAAATGTTTGTATGTGGGTCAAAGAGATAATACTGTGAGGAAGATGCTCATCTTGCATGCAGTCAACCCGGGTTTGCTCCCCAGCACCACATATGGTCTCCTGAGTCCGTCAGCTAGATGTGATCCCTGAGCACAGAGTCAGGAGTAAGCCCTGAGTACAGATAGGGCTTGTGTTATGTTATTAAAAGCAAGTAGCAACAATAAATATTAACATGTCCGTGTTGATAATAATACCACAATACAATCCAGGAATACCCTGTATTAAGCAGCAATCACTTATCTTGAGGACCAGCACCAGTCTGCAGACAGGCTGCTGAAACTCACTCCTTTAAGTGCTTGTTCTGCTTTCAATAATTACAATGCAAACAAGTGTCCTGACTAAGTGGGTTGTCCCTGCAAAGAGAGATGAAAGAGGTGTTTGAAATACTTCTGCCTCTTCATTCCTTAACAACAATGATCAGGACCAAAAGAATCTGATCACAAAAAGAAATCAGATAAACATTGCCTCCAATGACAACTCTGGAGAAACTTCAAAGAACCTTCCCCCTGACCTTGTTGCCCCTAGCTGGAAAGGCTCCTGAGCCTCCCAAAACCATTTCTGACTTAAGGGATAGATAATAAAACTTTGTCTGAGGCCCAGAGCAATGCAAAAGGGAATAGGGCGTTTGTCTTGTACACGGCTGACCTGGCTTCAATTCCCAGCACCCCATCTGGTCCCCTGAGCTTCCCAGAAGCTATCCCTGAGTGCAGAGCCAGAAGTAAGCCCTAAGTAAAGCCGGGTGTGGCCCCAAAATTTTTTAAAAACAAAAACTTGGTCTGAGTCACAGCTTCTAAGACAGTGGAGGTTTTTTTTTTTCCTGTTCTACATTCTTTCCCTTTTAGTCTAAGCCCTGAGTTTAGCTGGACTTCTGATTCCAGGAACTCTTTTGAGTGTCCCCAGATGAAAGCGCTCCAGGAGGCTTACTCCTGAACCTCTGGACGGTTAGAAGGCCGGTTAAGATTAAAGATCAAGTGAATGTGGCTGGAGTGATAGCACAGCGGGTAGGGCATTTGCCTTGCACGCGGCTGACCCGGGTTCGATTCCCAGCATCCCATATGCTCCCCTGAGCGCCGCCAGGAGTAACTCCTGGGTGTAGAGCCAGGAGTAACCCCTGTGCACCGCCGGGTGTGACCCAAAAAGAAAAAGAAAAAAAAAAGATCAAGTGAAGATGTTGGTGAGAATGCCGACTGGTTCAGCCCTCTTGAAAAACAGTATGGACGATTATCAAAAAATTAGAAATTGAGCTCCCATTTGATTCAGCAATACCACTCCTGGGAATATATCCCCGGGAGGCAAAAAAGTATAGTCGAAGTGACATCTGCACCTGTTTGTTCATTGCAGCACTCTTTACAATAGCCAGAATCCAGAAAAAACCTGAGTGCCCGAGAACAGATGACTGGTTAAAGAAACTTTGGTACATCTACACAATGGAGTACTATGTAGCTGTTAGAAAAGATGAAGTCGTGAAATTTACATACAAGTGGTACTACATGGAAAGTATCATGCTAAGCGAAATGAATCAGAAATGAATCAGAAAGAGAGGGACAGACATAGAAAGATTGCACTCATCTGGGGAACATAAAGTAACAAAATAGGAGACAAACACCCAAGAATAGCTGAGATAAGTACCAGGAGGTTCATTCCATGGCTTGGAGGCCAGCCACACATGCTAGGGGAAAAGGGAGCTCAGATAGAGAAGGGAGCACCAAATAAAGGGTGTTGGGCGGATCCTCCTAGGATG